GAGTCCTTGAGAATTTTGGGGGTGGGGGGCTTGCTTTCAGGCTGTGACAGACAAGGCATCAAATCACGGGGACAGGGCCTGCACACAGCACACCTCAACAGAGGTCAGCTACTACTGTTTCGTGGAACTGCTTTGAAAACTGTAAAGCGCTGCACACCCCTGGTTGCTGCTGCTGCTGTAATTTTTATTGTTATTATTATTACATGCAGATGGCACCAGGATAGAGCAGTTGAAGAGCTATGGCCAGCCCCTGATACCATGCATGGACTGAGTCATTAGACTGGCAGGGAGCAGGGCTGAGGGGATGGGAACAAGGCTGGGAAGTGGTTGCGATAGGGGCTAGAGAAGGGCAGATGTGGCTTCAGCTCAAACTTCAGAGCTCACAGCCAACTGTAATAATGCCCTTGAGTGTGGTTAAAATAATGATGATAATGGTGGTGATGGAGGTGATGATGATGGTGATGGTGATGATGGTGGTGGTGATAATGGTGAGGATAGTGATGGTGGTGATAATAATAATGGTGATGGTGATGATGGTATTGATGGTGATGGTGATGGTAATGGTGATGGTGATGATGATGGTAATGATGGTGGTGGTGACGATGATGGTGATGATGGTGGTGGTGATGATGATGGTGGTGGTGATGATGATGGTGATAACGATGATGATGGTGACTTGCCCATCTATTCTCCCTGGCTGAGGGCCTGGCATTGCCCTAAGCATTTAACCTATATCCCCTCATTTGGCCTTCACAAGCTCCCTGTGAGAGCCATATATTATCACTATCACCCTTTTATGGATGAGAAGACTGGGGCTCGGAGAGGTGCAGCTGCCTATGCAGAGTCTCACAGCCAGATTCCAGCCTGGGCTGTCTGACCACTGGTCCTGGCCTTAACCCACACTCCTCTTCCTCATTACAAGTCAGAGGTTGCAAATCCAGACCCCAGCTCTGTTCCACGGGGCTCCATCCATGTCGATGGCTTCTTGGGTCTTCCTGCCTAGGAGAGGAGCAGCCTGGATGTGGTGTGGGGGTTTAATGTCTCTGGGAGCGGCCCTCAACCAATGAGGGATGGAATGGACAACTCAAGAGGGTGTTCTACAGTACCTCCCAGGGGTCCCCAAAGGAGTCGAACCCCAGTTGCCTGCAGTGGTCATCTGCTCATAAACACACTTACTGGCTCTCTCTTCCCTGTTTCACCTCCTACCCCCTTTTCCCCGGAACCACCTCCCAAATAAATGATTTGCCCCCAAATCCTTATCTCAGGATCTGCTTCTAGGGTACCAATATGAGGACCCTCAATGGTACCTAAGTCACACAGCCAGCGGGTGGTGGCCAGGTAGGAAGTCCGTCCACGTCTAATGTGGTCTCCCTGGATTTCTGATGGCCCTGGGGCCTGTTTCCCACCTTCTCACACAGCTCTGGGAGGGTCTGAATCCAGCGCAGCAGCCTGTGTTTCCAGGCTGAGGGGTAGGCAGGTGGCAAGAGAAATGAAATGCTGGAGGAGCCTGCTCAGGCTTGGAGGCCCTGGGGCGGCCTCCCAGCCAAACCAGCTCATCAGCTTATCTGTGGAGGTCAAGGGCTTGGCCAAACTGACACTTTGAAAAGTCACTTGTTGTTTGGTCCAGCTACCTCTTCCTCTCTGAGACCAGGTGTTTCTTTAGTTTTGAAATGTGGAACAGAGCGTGAGGAGCCACCAGGTTGCTGTGAGAGGAGACAGCTGTCTTCTTCCTGATGAGAGACCTTGAGCCAAAAAATTTATTGCAGCCGGTCTTATGGAGAGGCTGTGCCTATAATTTATGCTCTCATTACAGTTCTAGAATCCCACATACTTTTCCTCCTTAATGCATAGCAGTCTTAAATTTGCAGTGTGTTCCACTCTGCCCCCCAAATCACTTTCTGTTCCCTTTGCAAAAAGCCAGGTTTTCCCATCTTAATTAGAATGAGACACAACATTACAGCTGGAAGAGACTCTAGAGTAAGGGTTTTCATGCAAAGTTGGGCAAGTTAAGCCTGCACAGGGTGCCTGGCAGAGGGGACCAGTGGGGGCTGAAATTTGCCTGAGCTCTGCTGGCAGAGACATGTATGATTTATGCTGATGTGGCCTGCATTTTTTTCTAATTTTCACAAAGGTGCTTTCTGGGTTAACTGTCATCTGGTCCAGGGGCTTTCAAACTTTTTCTTGTCCACAATCCACAGTGAGAAACACATTCCCCTCAACATTTTATTTTGAAAAATTTCAAACATATAGAAATGTTGAGAGAATTTTACACTGAACACTCATATAGTACCATCCAGATTCTATAATTAATGTTTTACTACACTTGCTTTATCACGTATCTATCTGTATATCCATCCCTCTATCCATCCTATAGGATCCCTTGTGGCACAGTGGTTAAGAGCTAGGCTGCGAACCAGAAGGTTGCCAGTTCAAATCCACCAGCTGCTCCTTGGAAATCCTATGGGGCAGCTCTAGTCTGTTTTACAGGGTCACTATGAGTCAGAATTGACTCCACGGTTTTTTTGTTTGTTATCCATCTTATTCGTTTGATGCATCTCAAAGTGTCAGGCATGAGCACTGTTCACCCCTAAACCACATCTGCATGCATGCCATTGACTAGTGTTCAGTATTTGTTTATAATTTGTTTTTTAAGATAAATTTACATACAGCGAAATGCACACATCTTGAACATACTACTCCATAAATTTCAGTAAATTCATACACCTGTGTAATCCAAACCCCTGCCGAGATATAGACCATTTCCATCACCCAGAAACTTCCCTCATGTTCCTTCCCAGTTAATTCCTCCCCTCAGGCCTCAAAGGCAACCACTCTTTTGATTAAGAAATCCATTTTACACTGTGGCCTACAGCACACACAGCAACACAAAACTCTAACAAAACATAGCCTTAAAAATGTTGGTTTCAGACTTATTGGCCTGACAGAGACTGGAGAAACCCTGATAGTATGGTCCCCGGACACCCTTTTAGCCCAATAATGAAGTCACTCTGGAGGTTTACCTTTTAGCCAAAGATTAGACAGGCCCATAAGACAAAACAAGACTAAAGGAGCACACCAGCCCAGTGGCAAGGACTAGAAGGCAGGACGGGACATGAAAGCTGGTAATAAGGAACCCAAGGTCATGAAGGGAGAGTACTGACATGTCATGGGGCTGTTAACCAATGTCATAAAACAATATATGAACTAATTGTTTAATGAGAAACTAGTTTGTTCTGTAAACCATCTAAAGTACAAAAAAAAAAGAAACCAGAAAAAAAAAAATATGCTGGTCTCAACCCTCTACATTGATTTCTTGATCCACTAACAACTTGCTGTTTGCAAAACATGGATCTAGTTGCCAGCCCTCTTCTTACAACTGAGAAGGGGAGCCACAGTTCATTCAATGTTCCCCTGGCCCACTACATCACTCCCAGCACTCTCACTCTGGAGGTTATTTTGTAAGTACCAATTGTACCATCCGACTGATGTCTCCATCACTTTAAAATTTTAAATAGACACATTCATGCTTTTTACAGAAAACTTGGAAAAGATGGAAAAATAGAAGCCTTTCCCAGTCCTCACCCCTCCCAAAGACAGCCATGTATTTCCTTCCCTTCCAGACCCCGGAGCTACACTCCAAGGACTGGCCTGACTGCATTTTTCTGTGGTAGGAATGTCGTTTATCTCTGGCACAGTCTGGAATAGGGGCTCTAGCACCAGGTTCTCAAACTTTCCAGGTAACCTAAGCTTGACAACTATTTTTCAGAGAATGAATCTCAGCCATTTTGAAGGCCAAAATCAAACCAAACCCGAGGACGTTGAGTCAATTCTGACTCATAGCGACCCTATAGGGCAGAGTAGAATTGCCCCATAGGGTTCCCAAGGAGCGGCTGGTGGAATCTGTTGACCATTTGGTTAGCAGCTGAGCTCTTAACTACCGCACCACTAGGGCTCCATTTTGAAGGCAGACTTCCCTTTTTCTTTTTTAAAATAACAGCTGTATTGAGATATAATTCACATACCGTGAAGTTCACCCTTTTAAAGTGTAGACTCAGTGGTTTTAGTATTCAGCTGTGCACTGGTCACCACTGTTTAATTCCAGAACATCCCATCACTTGGAAAGGCAGCCCTTTTTGAGGTGCATTCCCTGCCCGAGTTCAGATTCTGGTCCCCCCACTCCCCAGCTGGTGACCTTGAAGTTACCCCAGTCCCCTGTGCCTCAGTTTATCTCTACAAGGAGGCCGCCCACGTCATCGTAAGTTGTAAGGATGACTGAGTAAGACCAGGAGGAGCGACCAAGGAGCTGTCCTCCCTTCCCCGTGCGCGTGGGCTGCCCGGGTCCCTGTACCCTCCCTCCCTCCCCAGAGTACGTGCACCCCTTCCTGCGGTCCCTGCACCTCACGGGGTCCTTGCACCCCTCACCAGGGTCCCTGTACCCGATGCGGTCCCTGCACCCCATCGGTCCGCTCGGTCAGTGCGCAGCCCCTCCCTCCTCGTCTGGAGCTGCGCGCCCCGGGAATGCAGCTCGTGCTACCGCGGAGCTGAACGGTAATTGCACAAGTTTTACTTCTAAATTGAACTGTAAGCACTAGGCAGTGTACGTATTTCCCTGCTCAGCGCGCCTCAGTTTTGCTAGGGCTGCGTTTCACTCTGACTCTGAGAAGCTAGCATCCAATGGAGGTGTACTGTAAAGTGCAGAACACACATCGGGTTTGGAAGACTGCACAAAAGCGGAATGTGGGGTTCCCGTTAAGACCTTTAACGCCGCCAGCGCCTTGACTGTGCTCCGACTTGGCGATGCTGCCGGAGCTCCTTCTGCCTCAGCCACGCGCCCCGGCAAGTCAACGCTTGCCCTTCATCTCCTCGCCTCACGCCCTAAAGGTTCCGCCTAGAGCGGGGCGGGGCCGGGGCGGGGCCGGGGCGGGCCTGGCGCCGGCGCGAAAAGCGCGCGAAGAGCGGCGCGAAAAGCCACTTCCGTCCGAACCCTGGCCGAGCCAGCTATGGCGCAGCGCCGCGTCACCGACTTTTTCGCGCGCCGTCGCAGCGGCCCCCCAGCCTGCCTGCCGCGGGCCAAACAGGTCTTGCGCACTCCCAGCCCTGCGAAGCCGGCGCCCGGCCTTCCGGCTCCCGCCTTGAGTGACCCGCCGGGTGGCAGCCGCAAGCGCCCTCGCCCCGCCGCAGACCCCGCGCACGATGAGCCTGCGCCACCCGCGCGCAGGAGGCTGCGGCTGCCACTGCCGCCCACCCCGGAGCCTGCCGACGCGGTGAGGAGGCGGGGGGAAACTGAGGTCTGGGGGAGGCGAAGGAGGGGAAACTGAGGCCCGGGCGGGAGGAGACCCGGAGGTCCAGGTGGGGCAAGCAGGGGGTGGGGGACTGAGGCCGAGCCAGAGGGGACGAATTGGGATGTGGAGCACAGAGGGAAAATAGGCTGGGCGGAGGCAAGCGACAGTGGGACGGGCATGGAAGGGAAACTGAGGCCCTGTCAGGAGAAGACAGATGAGAAATGGGGAGGGGAACTGAGGCCTGAGTGGGAAGGGACAGGGGCAGTGGGGGCTGGGGAGAGGGTCAGGATTTTGGCTTTGACTGGAGTGGGCTGGAGAGAAGCCATGGGTGCGTTGGAGCAGGGAGGGCAGGACCTGAGAATGCTGGCTGGCTGCAAGGCTGGGCTAGGGGCAGGCCCTGGGTAACAGACCAGTGGGTTGCCCTTGTCCTTACCAGTTGGTTTTAGCAAAGAGCAGGTGTTTTTGGGCCAGGCGGCCTGGATTCACAGGACTGCTTCGGAACCCCAGTGACCTGAGGCTCCACCGGGGCTCTGTTTTCGAAGAGCTGGTGTGCCCGGGGTCTCGGCACCTGCTCCCTGTGGGTCCTTCCCCACCCAGGTCCCCACCCCCAGCTCCTCAGTAGCCTCTGGCTCCTCAGCCTGCTCTCCTCCAGGCAAGAAAATAAAGAAGGCCAGCCTCCCATCAGGCCAGCGGCCCTGCCTGGTGGCCCAGGGGGACAAGGTGAGGAGGGTGGGTGAGGATAGAGCTGGCAAGAGGTGGGGTGGCTGCTAGGCTGACATGCCCTCTGTCCTAGGTTCCCAGGAAGGACACCGTCTCTGAGCTCCAGGCGTGCCTGCAGCGGGCACGGAAGCTGGGTGCGCGAGTCCAGGCACTGAGGGCCTATGCCCAGGAGGGGGATGCCAAGAAGTCCAGTGTGCCAGAGCCTGAGGGGCACCCAGCGGAGCCATGGTGAGCCTGGCGGGTCTGAGGGGGGGGTCAGGTAGGGGGCGATCAGGCAGGGGACAGGGCAGGAGGCCCAGTCCTCCCACCAGGGCAGGCAGTCAATGGGGCCTGACTCCTGCACCCGCCTGCCATCTCTGCCCCAACTATGGCCCCAGCCTCCTGTAAAGGGGCGTGATAATCTCTGCCTTACTGAGCGTGTGTGTTTCAGATACTGTCAGTGGGTGTTCATTGAGCATTTGCATGGATTGTCATGTTTGTCCCCCCTGGGCCTGTCATCTTTGTTCCTTTTTCAGACGGGGAAACTGAGGCCAGGGAGGGTTAGGAGCCTCCTGGAGTCACGGGGCAGCAGAGCTGGGTTTGAAGCCGGGTCTTCCTTTCTCCCTCCCTGATACTCCTCGTAACTAGGAGACGGGTGTGAGGGCTTTGTAAACCGTAGAGTATGGTTCGTCCATGCGGGTGGTTTTCAAGCCTTAGCTCCTGGCAGTCCCCCAGGCCACCATGCCTGGTGCTGAGCACCGGGGTGGTTGGGTGGTACCTCTGACCAGGCCCATCCCTCACAGTGGGGAGAAGGCGCCCGCCTACCAGCGCTTCCACGCCCTGGCCCAGCCTGGTGTCCCAGGCCTGGTCCTGCCCTACAAATACCAGGTGCTGGCCGAGATGTTTCGCAGCATGGACACTGTCGTGGGCATGCTGCATAACCGCGCTGAGGCTGTGACTTTCGCCAAGGTCAAGCAGGGCGTCCAGGACATGATGCACAGGTGAGCGGCCTGTGCGGGCCTTGCCCGGCCCAGCCCTGGGGTCTGATGGGTGTCCTGCCCAGTTTTTTCTGACCCTTGCATCCTTACCTAAAGGCGCTTTGAGGAGCGCAACGTGGGTCAGATCAAAACTGTGTATCCTGCCTCCTACCGCTTCCGCCAGGAGCGCAACATTCCCACTTTCAAGGATGGCATCAAGAGGTCAGACTACCAGCTCACCATCGAGCCACTGCTGGACCAGGGTGAGTGCCTGGCCCATCGAGGTCTGGGAGAGGGACCTTGGAGCCTTGGTTTCCCTCTGTGACACTGAATGGGAGGCCTGGCATACACAGGCCCCAGCTCCCCGTCTGTGGCTCCTAGACCTGGGGCCTGGTCCAAGCTGGGCGAGTGTGGGTTACTCAGGCCCGGACTCTTCCGCAGAGGCCAGCGGGGCAGCCCGCCAGCTCACAGCGTCTTGGCTTCTGCAGCGGCGGAACATCTTTAGCCGGAACCTGGTGGCGCGGGTCAAGGAACATCACAAGGTGAGCGGGGGCAGGCCAAGGTCCTGGGTCAGCCAGGCCGGTCCTTGACCGGCTCTGCTCTGGCTCTGCTTTATTGTCCATGCCAGCCTCACAGCTTGCCTGTGAGTAGTCAGTTTCTGGGTCGGCCCCTGGTGCCTGGGGAGGCCACTCGGCCCTGAGTTAGGCCCCAAGGTGCCTCTGCCTTTTCAGCACCTGGCACCCCAGAGCACTGGGCCCTGAGGGGTCACCCAGCTGGGCTTCCATTCCCTTGTCCCCCTACAGGCCTTTCTGGCCACCCTGGACCCTCCCATGGAGGTACCTGAGGACCAGCTGACCCGTTGGCACCCGTGCTTCAACGTGGACGAGGTGCCTGATATCGAGCCGGCAGAGCTGCCCCGGCCACCCCCCACAGAGAAGCTGGTGACTGCCCAGGAGCTGCTGGCCCGAGCCCGAAGCTTAATGTCACCCAGGGTGAGGCTGGAGCCCTGGGGGTGGTTCGAGGGCTTGGGTGGGCCCCACGCTGGTGCGCTGGGGGGGCAGCCTGCCCCCACGTGGTAGGTGGTACTCGATTTGTCCACAGCCCACGGAGTTCAGGGGGTGTGCCTACAGCTACTAGCTAAACATTGGCCTCTGGCCAGCTGCCACTGCCCACTGGATTCTGGTCACTCTCAGTCCTCAGTTGACAAAGACAGGCAGCTAATATGCTGGGGGTAAATGAGGGCCTGGAAATACACACAGGGCTCTCAGGCAAGGGGCTGGGGTGTGGGCTCCTTGTGACCTCTCCCCCATTGCTCCCTCAGATGGAGAAGGCCTTGAATGACCTGGCCTTGCGCACAGCTGAGCCCAGCAGCCCTGGGTCCCCCTGCCCAGTCCCGCCAGCCACCCCACCTGCTGCCCCCAATGCCCTGAAGGGGGTGTCGCAGGCCCTGCTGGAACGGGTGAGTTGTGGCAATCCTGGTGGTTGGGGGTGCGTGGGGCTGCCCACTGACCTCCCTTTGCGTCCACTCAGATCCGGGCCAAGGAGGCACAGAAGCAGCTGGCACAGATGACACGGCGCCCAGAGCAGGAGCAACGGCTGCGGCAGCTCGAGCGACTGCCCGAGCTGGCCCGTGTGCTGCGTGGTGTCTTCGTGTCCGAGCGGAAGCCGGCGCTCACCATGGAGGTGGCCTGTGCCAGGATGGTGGGCAGCTACCACACCGCCATGAGCCTTGGTACGTGTAGGCACTCTGTGGCTGGGAGGGAGGGGTGTGAAGGTGGCTGGCCTCTGCTTGGAACCACCATAGCCCAGGGAAGTCCTGCTGGATGCACTGCCACATCACGCATCTGTACACAGACGTGGGGTTCGGCTGAGGTTACACAGCTGGCCAGGAGAGTCCATCCCTGTGGCCCCTGGCCCCAGGTCATGCTCTCACATGTTCTCTGCAGGGGACATGGAACAGCACCTGCAGCTGCTCGCTGAGCTGCTGCCCAACTGGCTCACCCTGCACCGCATCCGCACCGACACCTACCTCAAGCTGGACAAGACCGCTGACCTTGCGGGCCTCACTGTGCGACTGGCCCACCTAGCTCGCACTGAGGAGGGGCTGTGAGCCACGTGATGATGCCTGGGCACAGCCAGGCCTGTTTTATTCCCCTTTTCTAACATGATGTACTTTTTCTCCCTTCTTCAGTGTCCCCGCGGGGTGGTAAGATGAGTGTTCTGAGCTGCTTGGCCTAAGATCTCCCACCAGCTAGGTGGTGGGTCCCTCAGGACTCGTGTACAGCATATTGATATTAAACTGGTTTCCGTTGGTGGCTGTCTTTGCTGCTGTTGGGGCAGGTTCCAGCATCATTGGTGGTGGTTGGGGGCAGTGGGGCTGGGGGCAGGGGCAGCTCTGTAGCCAGCACAGGTTCAGAGTGTGGTAGACAGAATCCCAAACACCCTCCTGTCCTTATCCTGGGACCTGGGAATGTGTGACCTTATGTGGCAGTGGGGACTTGGTAGATGGAAGATGACCCTGGATGATATCAGTGGGCGCAGTGTGATTGCAGGGGGCCTTAGAAGAGGGAGGCAGGAGAGAGATATTTGAAGATGCCACACTGCTGGCCTTGAAGATGGAGGAAGGGAATGGCTAAGGAATGCAGGTGGCCTCTAGAAGCTGAAAATGGCAAGGAAACAGATTCCTAAAGCCTCCAGGAAGAACTGGTCTTGCCAACACCTTGATGTTAAGATTTCTAACCTCCAGAACTGAAGAGAATAAATTTGTGTTATTTAAGCCACTGAGTTTGTGGTAGTTTGTTAACAGTAACAACGAAACTCATATATTGCGTTTATTCTCTTCTGGCTGACTTCACACTGCTTCCATTATCCTCTGGAGCCTAACTGCACCCATAAAATGGGCCCTACAGCTCCTCCTGCTGGGCTCTGGTGGAAACGGAGGGCCAGAATCATTTGTAACGGAATGTGTGCTGAGCATTCTTACTAGTGCCAAGCCACCCTCAGAGGTCTAAGTCACAGAAGAGGAAGACAGGCAGAGGTGAGGAGGCATGGTAGGATCTGGGTCGGCAGTGTTTCTGGGGCTGGAGCCTGGCACTGAGCTTTCAGGTTCTGGGTGGTGCATCTCCCCATCCCCAGGTCCTAGGTACAGATGACAGCAGCTGGTACTTTTAACAAAGTTGTTTATTCTTGTTTTGCTGTGTGTATAAATAAACCAGCTGTGGCCTGGTCTGGGCTCTGGCACAGGGGACAAGCTCAAGGCCTTGACACACCAGAACCCACAGGAAGGGCCTGCACCCACCAGGAAACTCACTGAACCGCAGAAATCATTAGGAAAAAAAAAGTCCCAGGTGGGCATCCAGTGCCCCTGGTGGCCAAGAGAGGTCACTGCAGCTGCCCCGACCACACTTCCTGTTCAGCGGGAAATGTGCTGGAGCCTCCCAGCCGGGTCATTCGTACTGCAGGAGAGAGAAGAAGGGCACGGTGCCCAGCCTCTCTCGCCCCTTCAGTGAGGTCAGCTCCATCAGGCTCACGCACTCCAGCACCTTGGCCTGCAGCTGGCCTAGCAGCTCGCAGGCTGCCCGCATGGTTCCTGTGGGGTGGAGGGTGGGTTAGGGCACCTCAGCTCTTGAGCCCCCATTAGCATTCAGGGTCTGGCTGTAGAGTGCTGGGGCCCCACCTCACTCTGTACGGGAAGGCACACGCTCCCATACCCACCAGCACCCCAGTGTCAAGCTGGCCCCTCACCACCGGTGGCCAGCAGATCATCCACCACGACCACCCTCTGGCCTGGCTCCAGGGCATCCCTCTGGATCTCCAGCTCAGCCTGCAGAGGAAGGCAGTGTGGTGGTCCTCACCTCCTGGTGCCCGGCCCAGGCCCACCCTGTGTTCCTGGCTAGCTGAGCACCCCTACCTCGAAAAAGTCCCCACATCTGCTCCAACCACCGTGGCCCCACTTGACTTGGGGGTGCAACTTGGGCTCCCCAAGCAAAGGGCTCCCTGTGCCTGAGCCCCAGTTACAGCTGCTTGCCTTCTCACCTTCCCATACTCCAGTGTGTATGAGGCGGACAGGGTGGGACCCGGCAGCTTCCCGCGTTTCCGGATGAGCACACAGCCTACACCGAGCTCCTGGGCCAGGGAGGGGCCGAACAGGAAGCCGCGGGAGTCGAGACCTGGGTGAGAGCTGGGGTGTTGGGTGGCAGCCACATGGCACAACAGCATGGGGGACCCCTGGGGCCAGCACTGGATGGGGACAAAGAGCTGCCTATTCCAAGTGGCCCCTGGCCTTGCTGGCTCCAGCTGGAGACGGCTGCCATCTGTCTATGTAGCCCATGTCTGCTGAGCATCCCCCATGCGCAGGGACTGCTGGGACCCAGAGGTCGAGGGTGTGCAGCCAAGGCCCAGGTCAGGCCCACATGGCTGCCTGTTGGCTGTGAAACATTGGGCAAGTCACCTGGCCTCCCTGCAAACCTCAGGGTCCTCTCCTCCCTACACTGGGCTGCTTATGACGTGGGGGATGCTCAGCAGAGCCGGCACAGAGGTGCATGCATGAGGACAGCCCCTTGTCCTTCAGATGCAGCATCTGCCCAGGGGCTTCTCATCAAGAAGGAAACATGGCCAACAATCCCAACTGCCCTGCAGGAAGGAAGGAAGGAAGGAAGGTTCCTCCCAGCCAGGGAGTGTAGCCAGGGGCAGGAAGCGTTTGTAGGACATGGCCAAGTGAGGGAGGAATGGCCTGGCCATGCCCTCAGGTAAGAGCTGGTGCTTCCCTTGGGTAGCAGAGCTACCACAAAAGTCCGCAGCAGGGGTGGCAGGGCCTGACTGCCCAGCTGCAACTGCCCCACTGGGTGGTGCTGGGGGTAGGACCCCTCCCTCACAGACAGACTCAACAGGGACACCTGGTCCTTCTCCCCCTCACCTCCTCCCTTGGCTCTTCCTGTGACCTCTGATCTGCCTCTCTACTGAAGCCCCCACACCTGGCAAAGACCCTGGTATACACTAGGTGTTCTATGCGTGCTTGTAGAGAGGAAATGGAGAAAACAAGCTTGGCCCAGCAGATTAGGTCACACCCTCTAGGAACAAACCCTTGGGCACCCACCTCCCAGGGCCTGAGCAGGAACTTGGGTGGAGGGGCTAGCTCCTTGGCCTCCGTGGGCTCCAGAAGCAGTAGCCCTTCCGAGCAGTTAGAGGGGAGGCCCATCTTACAATCACATGGAGGGTCACCACCAAGCCTGGAGCCAACTCAGGCCAGTTCCCCTGAAGGTCCCCAAGCCCTCCCCTAGCAGAGACTGGGGTGTGTACCCTGCTCCTGAAGAAGAAAAAATCACGGCCCCACACCAACGCCCCTAAAATCCCCACCCAGAAGCCAGGTGCGCAGCAGGGGCTCGGTGATGGTGAGGCCTGGGTAGGAAGGGCTGGCCATGAGACTCCCGGGGCGCAGGCAGATCAGCCACCTGCACGAGGAAGCTCAGCAGCGAAGCCGGGCCAGCCGGAGTTGCCCTTGGGCACGCAGAAACCAGCGGGGCCTGGGGCCCAGACACGGCTCCTGACGGTCACCCGCCCACGGAGAGAAAGACTGCTCCTCGCTTGCCTGCGATGTAGTCGATCTTGCCGTCATGGGTTTTCTTCAGGTGACTGGCCAGGAGGCTGATGGAGGCTCGGAAAGAATCGGGGTCCTTTAAGAGGGGCGACATATCCCTGGGCATAGAGGTAGGCCTGGTGAGCCGAACAGAAGGTCCGCAGGAGGAGGGCAAAGCCTTACCCCTCCCCGCCGCCCCCGGCTCCCAGTGGCCCTGTGGGGCGGGCTGCTGACCATGCGCTCATTCTACAGAGCGTGAAACCGAGGCACATGGGGGTGAGGTGTCTTCCCCAAGCTACACAGGCCTGCAGGACCTTGCCAAGCCGGTACAGGGCGGGCGCAAGCTCGGTCAGCAGTTGTGCAAGAAGCCAAAGGGCGGTTCCAGCGTACGGGTCGCGGGGGCGCAGGAGACGGGGCCGAGGTCAGGCGCCCGCGCCCAGTGTCCGGGCTCCGTCCATCCGTCCGTCCGCGCAGCCCCACGTGGCCCGGCCCTCCTGGCCCACTCCCGCACCTGAAAAGCACGCCCGGGATGGGGAAGTCCGGGAAGCTGCGGATCCGCCGTGCCACCAGCTGTAGCTCGGACTCGGCCATCGCCGATGCAGGACTGGGTGCGCGTCGGAGTCAACCTGGCCGCACCCCGCGGCTCCGCGCATGCGCGGGGTGGGACGTGACGGGCGTGGCGCCTGCGCGTGGCGAGCCGCGAGGGGGCGTGGCACGACTCGGGACTGAGCGTGAAGGGCGGGGCGACTGCGCGGGGTGGAGCGCTAGGGCCGGTGCACGGGCTCCAGGGGGACAGTACGTTTTCGGCGCTACCGTATTTCTTCGAATCTAAGGTGTCATCGATTTTAAGACGCTCCTTTAGTGTTATACTACTGGGAAGATGCGGGGAACACGCTGTCCCGCGCGGCATCAGGGACGTTCGAGCGTGACCAAGGCGCGAGGGCGGTCGGTGAAATACGATCTTTCACAAGGGAAGCCCCGCCCGCCCGTACTCGGAGAGGTGGACTCTTGGTTCTGGCCGTTTTCACCGGAATTGGGGTTGTACCTGTCACGTCCTCTGCCCGCGTTCCCTCTGAGGGGCCCCCCGATTGCCCAGGAATGTCGGGAACGTCCCTGGGTGGTCCGGCGGCGTCCTCTCTCTGGCCTCCCTGCCAGGTCTTGCTGGCCCGCGACGGCGGGAAGAGCCCCTGGGCTGATCCTGCCGGTTCCCAGCCTGCGCTCGGCCCCCACTTGCAGGCATTTTTTCCCTCCCCGGCCAGCTGCCCTGCCCATTTGCTCGCTGTAGTGTTGGGCTGACCCTCCAGGAGTGGCCTGGGTGAAGGAAGTGGGCGAGGTGGGGGTACCTTACAGAAGGAAGTGCAGGGTAAAGGAGGTGACCTTGGTGACCTGTGCAACTGTGTTTGGGAACGGATTAGGGAGGCCTAAGCGGACAGGACGGGGAACAGCCGAGCCAGAGTGGAGACCTGGAGCGTCTGTGAGCCAGCCTTTGTGTAGAGCCGAAGAGCCAGGCAGGGGCTCCATCACTAGCCCAAGACTGCTCTGGGATTTCCTGCCTCCCCACCACCGCTCCAGGCCCATAGAGACACCAGAGGACACCAGGGATACGGTCCCCCAAACCCAACTCACTTTTAAAAAACACAAGACAACAGAGCTAAAATGCCTTGGGCTATTTTATTCTAAAACTGTTTTCTCCATGATTTCCCATGTTTCTCTTTGGCATGACAGTCACAGCATGAGAAGGTGCTCCTCCAGCCCTGGTCACTGTCCTGTCTGCCACCTGGCTTCTTAGGGGAGAGGGGAGGTGGCTGGCCCTGCAGACGACAGACACAGCCTCACAGTGCTGCTGGGGCCAGGCTAACTCTAGATCCCAAAGGCAGGCAGGACGTGGAGGAGGCAGCAACATCGGCCTCCTACTGGGTGGAGGCAGGGGTGTGCTGCCTTCTTCTGCATCCCTACCCCCTCCACATTCACCCCCCTCATGGGTGGTGCAGGGAGAGAGGGGTGGGCCTGGGAAGGCATGCGGGGTTCAGGCAAGGGGACAGGGCACTGAGGATCTGAACATGAGCCCTGGCAGTGCACCCTCAACACTGGGGCTGAAATACAAGCAGGAGGCTGCGGCAAGTGACTCGGGCCCTGTGGGTCCTAGAAGGAGGGATGGCTTGGGCAAGGCCAGCCTGAGGCGGTGGGCCATGTGGAGGAAGGGCCAGGACAGAGGCGGGTGGAGGAGTCCTGTGATCGCCGGGATGCGGGGGCAGTGGTCTTCCCCATCACCAAGTTCTGTAGCAGCTTGGGGGCCGAGCTGGGCGGTAGTCAGGGCTGCAGGATCAGGCCGATGAGGAGGAGGGCTGAGGTGTGGCTGCTGGTTTCAGGGCCAGGTCCTGGGCGACTCCAGCCTTGCTGGTCCTCTGTCGGCCTTGGGAGTGCAGGGCAGGGCAGCTTCAGATCCAGGCAGACAGAGCCTTCCCACCCTGGGCACTGGCCTGGGTTCAGCAGGTGCTAATGGGGCCAGGAGCACTTCTCAGGGACAGATTCCGGAGGCGTCAGACACTTCCCTAGCTTTTCACAGCCCGGGGGTGCCCAGTTCTGCAAAGTGAGAATTCAGAAAAAGAACGTGGTTATTGCAAGCACTGAATCAGCAGCAACTTGAGGTTTTTAGACTCATCTCCTTCCCGCCACCCCACCCTCTCAACTGGCTGCAGCATGGAAATCACCTCCTGTTTTCACGAGGTCCTCTCCCAGGTGGTCACCTGTCTGTTTTGATTTGGGGGTGTGGGGGTGGTGAGGCAGAACCAGCCACAGGACAACAACAAGGGCTTCTGGGGTGAAAGAGGTGAGGATGGCCATGGGGGGGGGGGCTGCACAGTGACCCCTGACCCTGGCCCTCTGCCCAGTACCCTTCCAGGCACAGGGATGCACAGCTTCCAGACCTTGAAGGCTTCCTGAGGACCCCAGTCAAGGACCTGTCCACATCCAGCTGTGCCAGAAAAGGACAGTACACCTCCAGAAAGGGCTGACCGAGAAGGTTCTCAAAGCTTTGACCAGCAGAAAGTGCTTAAACTGCCAACTTCGGTTTCCTGGGCCGTTCTTTAGAGCTGAGCCTGAGCAATGGCTGAGCCCGCTTCAGCATAGTGGGTGGGGCGAGGCCTTGGGCTGCCTCTCTCTCTCTGACTTTAATAAACAGCCCTGCTCTGGGTGAGGACATTTTTCCAGGAAGGAGACTTGCCGTAGAGAAGCCCTCTTGGTTGGAGGGCAGTGCAGCCTGGTCTTGCTGTGCACTGCTGGGCCACCTCCCTCTGCACCCGGAGGCCCAGAGTCGCCCCTCCCAGGATGTCAATGCTCATCCTGTCCGGGGAGGTGTCAGCTGGCACTCCCAAGTTAGCAGTCCCGAGTTAGCGGGCCTAACTGCCGTGTGGAAGGCCAGCCCTGAGCGGGTGTGTGCTGATGAGCCACCAGAGCCATGAATGCCAGCAGAGTGGCAGTTGTTAGTTGCTGTGGAATCGACTCTGACTCATGGCGACCCCATGTGTGCAGAGTAGAACTGCTCCGTAGGGTTTTCAAGGCTGTGACCTTTTGGCAGCAGAACTGCCAATCTTTTGGCCGGTAGGTGAGTGCGTAAGCTTGTGTTCTACCAGGGGCTCCTTAAAGAGCGGTGGAGCAGTGCAGAACCAGGTCCTGGGCCCCTCCCGTCTGGACTTGGTGGTCCGAGGCTGTGGCCGTGCTATAAGGCCTCCCCAGTGTCTCATGTGGAGCTGGGATGGACAGATGCCACCAAGGGCTGCGACAGGCTACGTGGCGACTTTACTTCTTGTCATCGAGTGCCTCATCCTGGGTGGGGCTGTGGGCTTGGAAGCTTGAGGAGCCTGGCCAGGGCTGGGTGATGGGGAAGGGGTGCGGGGCAGGGGGTATGTAAGGCTTCACACAGACACACGTTCACACCCACAACACGCATCCCCACAACCACGTGCCCACGTGTGCTGATACGCGTGTAAATCACGCACCCCTCGAGTGGACAGTGCTCTCTAAAGTCTGGGGACCAGCCCATACTGTTCCAGGTTTGTTCTCAGTGGTGGGGATGCGGGGTCAGCCGCACTGTCTCCCAGGTTCCAGGGCTGCTGTGGGCAGTTCCTCCAGCACCCAGCAGATGGCGACATCTTCTGGCGCCTCGCCGAGTGGTGGCGGTTACCTCTGTGCACCTGGAAATCAACCCAGGGCGGCAGAGTCCTTCCAAGGATAGCTTATTGGGAGGGGGCGCAAGGACACAACGTCACAGTCACCACAAGACAAGACTGTGTGAAGTGGGTAGCCCCTGCCTGGCTCCCAACATGAGGATGAAGCGAGGCTGCAGGGCACTGGGAGCCCCCGCTGTGCTGTTGAGGTGCAGGGGCCACAAACCCGCCACCGGCCTGTCCTAAGCTGCCCCTCCTGTGGGCTGGCAGTCTCTGTGGCCCGTCGTGGCCATCTGCCTGACAGTCCTTAACGTAGGAAAACAGCCTTGTGATCAACTCTGCTTCCTGTGCACGATGTCCTCCCATTACAGCTCATTACAGCTCCAGCCAAGCCAGCAATCACACCTCCTGGTGGACACGTCCACCTGGCCAGCCGAGCTCTGTGTATTCTGCTTTCAAGGGGGCTTAGGGGACAAAGGAGTCTGCGGGCAGCTGCCTGGCTGCAGTCTGTGGGTCTTGAATCAGTTTTTTCTCCTACAGAGAAAAAGCCCATGTTTAAAAGTATGTAAGCTCCTAAAAGCGCTGCCTTCCCCCTACCAGTCCCTTTGGAACTCGACCCAACTCATCCACGGGCACAGGCAGCTGTCGGGTTGGGCATACGAAGGGGTGTCGGGGCACTGTGGGAGCTGCTGATGGGGCGGGTGCAGGACACTAGGCACGTGCTGTCTGTTCCTTGAGTGGATGGCCTGCCCTGTTGTCCAGGTCACGGCTGCATGTGGCTGCGTGGTGAACAAGGCAGGCGTAGTGGCGTTGGACGGTGCCGGCAGGTGGGTCCCCTAGGGTTCTATGATCCCACCTGCTGGGGCTGCCTGTTGGGTGTGCTCATTGAGGATCTGCTTGTTGTCCCTGCCGGGCGGCCCTGGGGCCTGAGACCGTTCAGGATGGCCAGAGCATTGTTTGTTTCGCGTCCCTACCCTGTGAGCCGTAGCCTTATAAGACCCCGGCCACTGCTGCCCACGGCAGGTGGGAGGCGACCTTAAATGCTCTCTAGCCATTTCTGGGCTACCTCTATGGCTGTGTGTGCCTCGGACCTGGTGTAATCAGGCTGTTTTTCCGCCAAAAATAGAAGTGGTTTTATCTCACCAGGTTGTCACGAGAAGTCACTCGTGAGTTAAGGTGCGTCGGGGTCTGACATCAGGTTCCTAAGGAGGTGGTGGTGCTACGCACCAGAGCAGAGTGGCAGGAGGAAGCCCCGCCATCACGTGTCTGGTGGGCACTGCACCCACAGCGGCTGCGGTGCCTCTGACCACAGTGCACCCCACTCCAGGTTGGTTCTTCCTGCACTGGTGCCCAGCAGAGCTGGGGTACAGGGAGAGGGGACACCCCCTGCTCTGGATGGTGACGCCCACATCAGGAAGAAGTGGCTAGGCCCCACAGCTCCACATGCCCTTGGGGCACTCTCCCTCTTTCCCTCAGTGAAAGCCCCGATCAGACCACCAATTTTGGGGGCAGCCAGGTGCTGGGGGAGGGTGGTGTGGGGAAGGGGACCCTGAGGGCCAGGGTGCCCACTCTGCAGCTGGCTGCTGGCTCTGCCATGATGTCCTGGAGTCTTTGGAGGTCCTGGCTCATTCTGCACCTGCAGAGGTGGCCGAGTGGCTCTCTAGAATGAGCAGCTGGAGGGAAGTGGTTCTGGGCTGCGGTGCCACAGTCCCAGCCAGTGGGGCTTTTCAGCAGTTATCTGTGGAGGTCAGGGCCTGGGGGCGCCCTGTGCACCGAGGAGGAGGGCACCCTGGTCCGAGCAGCCACATGGCCTAGACACTTGCTGTGGAGGACCCCAGGGCATACAGCAGCCCCAGGCATGCAGACCCCTAAGCAGCCCCAGGCTGCCCATGCAGGGAGCCCACTCACCATGACAGCTGGGTTGCACACGTTGAGCTGGGGCTGCCCAGGCACGAGGGCCTTGCGGTGCTGCCAGACGGCTGGGGTGATCCTCAGGAGGGCATCCTGGTACTCGGCACTGACGAAGCTAAAAGGAGAGGGCGCTTGGTCATGGGCCAGCGTGGCCACTTGGACCCCAGTGGTGGGCAGGAGGAGGGCACAGAAGACACTCTGCAACTGGACAGGAGGGGACAGGGGACAGGCATACTAAGGTTAGGACTGAAGTTAGGGCAAGAACATGGGCAGTAGTGTCCACACTCAAGCACCCAGACAGGAAGAAGGTAAGGCCCTCAGGGTGGCTGTGAGAAGGACCTCCTTGGTGGTCCACCCCGTGTCGCCAGGCAGACTACGTGTGACAGGGACCTGGGAGATGTGGCTGGGTGGCCAAGTGCCCTGTGGCCACAGTCTGTCCCTGGGGTGGGGCTCTGGAGGCAGAGTGGGCGGGGTGCTGGCACCAGGCCAGGCCGCGTGGGCACCTCTCTGCAGCCTCCTCAGCACGAAGTGCATGCAGAACATTGTTAAGTGATGGGAATTTGCTTCATTATGAAGTACTGCCATCCCAGGGCGAGAAATTTGGAAAAAAGGAAAATGCCACTGACAGCTGTAAAATTCCAATACAAGTACTTTCAGCATCTTGAGTCCTTCTATTATTTTCTAAGAAAACACTTTAAATGGCCCACGTGTGTGTCATGAGGCCGGCATCACTGTTTCACAGTAGAGTGCCCTGAAGCCGGGTGACCTCAGTGGGCACAAGCCTTTCTGCCACTTAAACCATTCCCAGGAAAGCAAACAAGCACAGAAGATGCCATTCATCACCAGGGACAGAAATGGGAATTAAGCCACAACGAGATGCCACTGCACACTGTGGAAGTCGGGGGGAGCAGTACAGGAGGGGGCAGGGGCACCCCGAAACAGATCACACAGATAGTGTGCGGGAAAAGTGGGCACATGGGGGGTCCATCGGGGAGGGGGCACACAGGGACAACACCGTCGGCCCTTCGTGTCCCCTCAAAGAGCTTATAGCTCTTCTGTATATTGGGAAAACAACTAAGAATAAAGTGTCATGGGCATGGTGCTGGCAGTTGCCAAGGCTGTCTGACACGTTCTCTTGGTTTGGGTCTCAGTAGTCCACAGAGGTCCACCCTGCAGATATGCATGTGGGTGACTCAGCTCACCTGAGGGGGTAGCGCTCCCCGGGGTCTCGTCCCAGGTGGAACAGCAGAGGCAGTGACGTGTGCTCCTCCTGGGTGTGGGTCGTGACTCCCGAGATGTTCTGCCCTGGGCAGTAATTGATGCCCTGCAAGAGAGAGGCAGAGGAGGGTGCACCCTTTAGAGCTGGTGGCACCCTGAGCCCGGGCGGCAGAGCCAATGACTGAAGTCTCCCTGAGGGCCGCCCCTGGTGACCACTGGGCCCAGAGCTGTGGAGGAATCATGTTCCCCACCATCCTCCCTACTTTGGGTAGGGGTGATGAGTGTCTTTATTTAGTCAGTTTCATATCTTGATTGCCACTAGTTTTGAAAGGGAAAGCTCACTTCTAACACCCCTATTCTATCTGCCTAGTAGAGGAAAGGGTGGGGTAGAAGGTAACAGTTCACAACGTTCCTTCAAAAATCACAAGACAAGTGAGGACCACACAACCAAAAGCCAAAAGACAACACAGACAACAGAAAAGGACGTACAGGTGACCCAGTAACAGGCGAGGGCTTTAAAGCAACTATGGTTAACGTGTTCAAGAAAAGACTGAGAAAATGGAAGATAAGCTAATTCTCCTTTTAAAAGCTCACGTGTGTGGTCACAGCTCCCCCCTCCCCCCTGCCCCCTGACACCAAGACACAGGAGCAGAACACCCAGCCCTGGTCCACTCATGCCAAGGGCTGCCTTCTGCCCTTCTATGCTTCTTTACCCAGGGGGCAGCCTCTGATGTGCATTAAAGTGGACCTTACACGTAAGCTTGTGGTCTGGGCTCTATGACCCTCTATGGCCAGGGATCAATCTGTAGATCTGTGTTCTGGTACTTGAAGGCTGCTCCTCTGGGCTCCCGGATTTCTAGGGGGAAACCCCCACAAGTCTGCCACAAGGGGAGAGCATGCAGGAGGAGGCGCTCCCTGCCTAAGGCACTGGTGTCCAGAGCACCCTATAATGGATTGGCGTTAGCAACCCAGCCAATGCAGATGACTATCAACAGGTGTTGGAGACGTGGCTGTGGCATGTGCAATGTTAACACTTGAACTGGGGACAGGCGGAGGGTGTGGGGGAGTCATGCTTCTGAAATCGAAGTTGAGGACTCTCTACAGGCATCAGGCCTGTATGACTGCACACTGTTTCTAAGTGCCCATGTGTCGTAATGGACAGTGGCCAGCGGAGCAGTTAATGCTGTGCTTTCCATACAGCGCAAAGTTGGAAGCCTATATTCTACTTGTCTGCACTGAGCCATCAAGCCCTGTGTCGATGCCTGGAGAGTAAGGAGCCGCAGTGTCAGCTGTTCAGGGCGACCGATAATGGGCTCAAAAATGAATTTAATAAAAGGGGTGACCTTTTGACCTCCAGGAGCTGAAATGCTAGAGAACAATGTGGATTTAGCAGCTGGAGAAACAGCCGTATTTGGCATAAAAACACTGAGCCTTTACTGGAGAAGGACGCAAGTCTAGACAGAAAACACAAATTATAATTTGGATGCAAACCAAATAAGCTACTTAATTAAAATCCTGCTAATTGTACAGGGTTTCTCTCTGATGAGGCTGTGGAGGGAGACCTTGTCCACTGGGGTGTTGACGGCTAGGCTGTCTGTGTCCACAGCACACTCTGCCCATCATGGAGTCCCAGGTACGCCGAGGGCAGTGCGGCTGCCCCCCACACCCCGGCCTTGTCCCCAGAAGGCCCCAGGCTGGTTTTTGGAGAGGTGGGTGGAGGGGTGGAGGGGAAACTTTTTGGAGGGGAGACTCATCTAGTTAGGCTAATATGCTTGGTAGCTATATCTAACTGTCCCTCCCACCTCCTCCTCCAACCCTGTTGATGCTTGGGAGTCCTGCCCCAGGTCCCTCGTGGCCAGAGTGTCATTCTGGTCTGCCCCCAGTGAGGTGGGCACACTAACTCATGTCTCCATCTTCAGCGTTAGGCACACAGAGGTGCAGCTTTGCACCCCCCCACGCCCGAATTTACTGAGGGAAAGAATAGATGACCTCTGCCAACCTTGGCTGCCGGGCAGACCCCCTATGAGACAGCGCTCTCGGGCAGTGCTCTCCTCCACAAATCTTGTATTCACGAATCTTGTATGGTAAACAACAATTCCTAATACAGTAGAGCACTGCCCTGCACACCCCCCGCCCCCTGCCACCGGTGCCATGAATGGTGGCAGCCTGGTGGGAGATGCAGAGCCCGGCCTGGCCCTCCAAGACCCCACCAGGGGTGCAACCTAGGCCACTTGTGGAAGAAGTGCCAGCACATTCCTTGAGCTCAAGGACATCATGATTCGAGGACATCTGAACAGATGAGCTGACACACAGCTGAGTGGAGAAGGCCCTCCCTGAGGAAAGGAGCCCATCAGAGCAGCGAGGGCTCACCCAGACCCACAGATTGAAGTCACAGGGGTAGAGGACACTCCCCAGGGCTGCGGGGACTGCACCAGGACCCCCGCTCTGCCCACCCAAGGCCTGTGAATCAGAGTGGGCAGGGCTGCTGTGCTTGAATGCAGGGGCCCCTTCCCCAGGAACAGCCACCAAGCAAACCTCTGGGCCGGGCCCAGTGGTGCCTCAGCAAGTAAAGCCTCCCTGCACACCCCCTGGGGGGTGGTGGGGAAGGGGAAGGTGACCACTGGGGTAGGGGCCCTTTCACATTGGGGCGGCTCTCTGGCCCCCCAGGCCTCTCCCTCAGAGAAGCCCAAGACCCTCTGAGCAAAATCACCCTTACGTGCTATCTGGAAGGAACAGGAGAGGCAGACCAAAGTCTCCAGAATCACTGGCCATTTCAAATGAAAACAATGGCCTCTGCAGAGCCCAAGGTGGGGAGTCAGAAGGAGAGAGGCATCTTTGGAGCAAGTGGGGTCATGGGGAGGGCCCCAGTGATGGCCAGGCTATACAGCAATTGGACCCCTGACTCCACCACTGCCTCTGGCCCCCTCTGACCACCCCACCTCTGACCTCACCCCCACCTCTGACCCCTTTCCTACCTCTGATGGGGAGTTTGCGCTTTGCCCGACCTGCCAGTTGGAAAGCAGGAGCTGACCACAGGACCCAAGGTGGTAACCGGCCTAGGCTCACGCTCTCCTAGACCCAATAGGGTCTGCACGGTGCTGCAGCCATACAGACAGCTCCATGAGCAGAGTGTTCCATGGGTGGGTTGCTCCTGTGCAGCCTAGGAACAGCCAGTCTCTCTGCTGGGTGGCAGGTGGGCCCAGGGCAGAGAGGGAGACTAAGTGGCCACTTGCCCCCCATCCACCTGCTCCAGGACACCTGCCCAATGCCCGATAAATTTGTGATTTGCATCAATTGGTTCAGACTGTTCCATTACTTAAGATTTTTCATTAACTCAAACTGATTTTCCTTCCCATTAAGGCAAATTAGCAAGGTTTTCACTGAGGCTGGGAGGGGGATGGGGTAGAGATACTGGGAGGAGGAGAGCCAGGGAAAGACCAGGGGCCAGGGAGAGTAGGGTGGAGGGATGGGGCAGGGAGTGAGGAGGGGTAAGAGGAGGCAGTGTGGGACCAAGGCGGGAAGGCATGAGGGGAGAGAATGAGAGTATAGGACAGAAGGGAGGGCCGTGCAGGCTGGGGCCCCAGAACCCACGGCAGGGTTAATATGGTCCCTGCCTGTACTCTGCCCACCCTGGGGTGTGGGTGGTCAGCATTAAGGGCTGTGAAACAGTCACAGAAGGGGGCTGACAGATCAAACAAGATCCTGCCCAGATGCACACTTGTCCCCCACCTTCAACCCCAGGGAAAACGCCATGACAGCCTCATTCATGGGCAGTGGGGGGCCCCTGGGCCAGCCAGAAAGGACAGTGCTAAGACTGCAGACCCACCTCCCAGCCTCCAGCCTGGGAAAGGGGGACCAGAGGTGTGAGGGGAGGTTGGCAACCTGTGGGGGGCTGGTGTGGGGCAGGGCCAGAAAGCCACTCTGGATCACCTCCCAGGATGGCCCAGCCCCACGGCTGTCCCTGAGCTACCCGAACTGGGCTCCTAACGCCTCTGGGGCCCGGGACACACTGCAAGCAGGAAGAGGACACAGGCGCCTGCCCCAGCTTTAACAATGCCCTGCTACCGTCCTCGTCGCCCACCTGGCCCCGTTCTGTGCCTGAGATTGTCTCCACTCAAGGACAGGCAGCGGCGGTGGTGCCCAGGAGGTCACACCAGGGAGGAGGGTCACAGAAGGGTAAGGGGCCCCTCTGTTCTGGCCATCTAGAGCCCTGTGTGGAGAGACCCGGCGCCTGTCCCCCAGCCATTGTTACCTGTCTGAACTCTTCCCAGGAATTGGTCCAGGTCCAGAAGTGGGCCTTATACTGTCCCACAGTGGCGGCCATCAGCTCATTGCCACGGTAATAAAAGATAGGCCTGTTGGAGGAGGGGCCATGAGTGACAGAAGGACCCTCTGTCCAAGCCCTAAGCTCCAGCGCACTCGAGGGCCAAGCACAGATGCCACTCTCCTGTGTGGCTCTCTCCAGACATTAACAGATGAAGTGCTGTATCTTACATCCTTCTGTGACAAACAGTGGCAAGCCCTCACAGCCCACCCTTCCTGGGGCTGTGGCGAGAAAGCCCACTCTCATGGAGAGGGGGGCTGCAGGATGGGGTCCACCAGGCAGACATGGGCAGCTGAGAAAGGCCTGGTGGGGCAGGGGCCCTGAGAGCAGCACACCCCTCCCAGGCCAGGTCCTCAATCCATCCACAAAGTCAGAGCTGGCACGCAGCAGTCCTGTGGGGAAGAAGCTGTCTCCTTTCTAAGGAGCTTCTTATACGCAAGCCTTTCAGAGCCATAAGGAGGTGCTCTGTCTCTGACTGTGGACACTGGGCATCAGACCCAGCAGTGCTGGGGCGGGGCAGTGGCCTTCTCCCAGTCAGACCCTAGGACCAGTAAGAGCAACTTCTTCTACCCCTTGCACTTGAAGCAGAAAGGATCACACTGTGAGAACTGCCAATGTGAGCCAGAGACAGGGGGCAGGGGAAGGGACGACACGGCGCTCAGGGCAGCACACACCAGCGCCCCGGCCTGCAGAGAGCCACAGGATGCCTCCCCCACCTTCCGTGGCTGTGCCCTGACACCTCCCCCGAGGTGGGCCCACCACCAGCTGCCAACCAAGGGTCCAGGGCTCATCCACCAGGACTCCCTCTTGCCCTCCACCAGCCTCCCTCAGCACAAATGTGCCTGATCTAAAGTCACAGCCACCAGATAGGTGGAACAACTGCAGTGGCCATTAGTGATGGAGGGGATGGGGACGTCCATCTAGCACCGACCTGTCAATCAGCTTGCCCTGCAGGAGGACAGGGAGCAGGTCCAGGCCATCGATCTCCCTGTCACTGGGTGGCTCCAGGCCTGCAAGGGACAGGCTGGTGGTGAAAAGGTCCATCAGGCTGCCCAGCTGGTGGCTCACCTGAAACCGACACAGCATGACCCACTGCCTGGGCACCCAGAGGGCTCGGGGGCATGCGTGCTCACCTCCCAGCTGGGTCCTAGCCGTGTCTGGAGATGCGTGTTCACACACAGCACATACTTGGCATAGATAGTGTCTGCATACACGGAGTGAAGGCATCCCTGACCCTCATATACACACATGTACACATACACCCCACACAGACATGTCCGCATGCGTGGGGTGAAGGCATCCCCACCTTCCCCTATGTACCACCCCTATGCCCCCAGACTCGCCGGGAACCTCTGTGTCCATCCATGATCCTCTAGGCTGGTGCATGTGCATGGCCTCAGCCATGTGCTCAGCACGTATGAGTGCACTTACATCTCACAACCCTGCAGAGGTGTGGATTAGTGCCCTACTTTCATTGGGAGAGAGCTGCACACCAGGGTTGAGGGATTCGGCCAGCCTCGGAACCCATGAGGGCAGAGAGGGGGCTCAAACCGGGTAGGTCTGGCCCCCGAGCTGAGCCCTTGCTCATGGGATGGCTGCCACATGGGCTCCTTGGCCTTGGGCTCTCCTCAGTCAGAAGTAGGTAGAGGGAGAATGCAGCCACTCCCATTCTAACAAGCTTGGAGACCCTGAGCCGCTGAGCTGCTGACACCACTGGCTTGGAGTGGCCCGAGACCCCACACACTAACACTGTGAGATGGCTGGGGCCAGTGGGGTCCTCTGAGTGGTGCCCAATGCTGGCACTTCTTGCATTCACTTGGCACAGATGCAGCCTGGATGGATCCACCAACTTCTTCATGGAAGAGGTCCACCCGAGAGACACAGGAGTGTCACTGTCACCAGGCTGCTTCTCCAGGATGGGGCCAGTTAGGGTTGGCTGACACTGACAACTCAAAGCCATTTTGGGTTTTCCCAGTCAGGTATGGGTCCCAGCAGAGAGGACCCCACTGGGTTCAGAATACACTGAGGGCAAGGGGGTGTGGTGGGCGCAGCGTGGCTGGGGCCAGTCTCCTCCTGGACGATGGCCCCTGACTGAACTGGTGGTCCAGGTCCTGTGAGCCCACATGAGTTGGCTGCAGCCCCGACTCCGAGTCCTGAGAGCCGTGAGGAGGGCAGGGGCCGCGCATCTTCTGCTCATGTCAACACGCTGGGCCGCTTGGTCCCCTCTTTGCTCACCAGGTCGTGCCTGTGATGCTGGGATGAGTTTCAGTGACAGGAGGAGCCTGGGGCTCTTCCTTGTGTTTGATACCAGCCACCCCCACCCCCCAATGGAGTCCACGCCCCTGCTCCTTAATTGCATCTTGGGGCTTGGGCTGGGCAATGGGGAGACAAGGGCTTGACTGGGACCAGCCTGCAGGACAGATGGACACCGTGTCTGCTGGGCAGAGCCCAGGAAGGCTGGTGGCAGCTCCAGTTGAGCAGGCAGCAGCAGGCAGTGCTGTGGCCTCCACTCCCACTGCCAGTCAGACCAAGCGGCCACCCCACCAGCCCTGGGATCTTGGCTACCCCGGACCCTCCTGACACCAGCCAGGGGGATCATCGCTTGTGTCACCCAGGCCTGCCCTGACTTACATGAGGATCCTCCGAGGGAGGAGAAACATCCTACTGAAGTGGAAGGTGCACTTCACAGTCACAGCATTATCTGGGTTCTGCAGGGCGCAGGGGAGGGGAGCATAGGGCTACTAATGTTTGGTTAAAAATCCTTTACAGCCTTCCCGAAGGGGAAGAAGAGAGACGTCGTTGGGATTTTGGTCAACAGTGTCCTTCCATCCTAGTCACTTCCCTCCCTTCTAGTATTTCTTTAAGGACAAGAAAAGAAAAAGAAAAAAATGCAGACACTTCGAGTGTCTGGGAAGATCAGCCAGGAGGAGAGGTGGCTGGGATGGGGAGGTGAGAGGAAGCAGGTATCTGATCATCCTCCTATCAGCCCAGAACAGCTGGTGCACTCCACAAGATGTGCTGTTTGAAAAACATAAACTCTCCACGTGCACGTAATCCCTTTAAGGAAATGAAACCCGCTGGCTCAGGCCTCATGTCGAGAAGGGTCACTGATGCCGTTATCAGCACTTTCAAGCTTTAAATCTGAATCAAAGGTGACAATTAATAAAGTCGCCCCTGCCTAAGTGGGAGGACGGACTGTGTGAAGCCAGTGGACAAATGTCAGGGAGTTTCTAAACAAGCCCTTCCACGACGGTTATCACAGCACGCAGCCCGACACCCATCTAATTTAATTTTGCAGAGCTGGGAGGTGGTGGGGAGAGGCAGCTCACGATGCCTCTTTTCCCCTCAGGGAATAGGAACGTGCGGGCACGGGCTGGGCTGGCCTGGGGCAGAGGAATCCAACTACCACACACGCATGTTTCCCAGCTGAACGCTTCTGGAGAGCAGATGGAGTGTGAGGGCCTGCGGTGTTGGCTTCCTATGAGCCCACCTGGAAGGTGGGGAGGAGCAGCAGGTACAGGTAGCTCCCCACTCCCCAGTGGGCACTGACAGTGTTGGGGTGGGGGACCAGTGCACCATGTGGGCCTAGGCTCACACAATGGGGCTCCTGTGCCCAGGGAGGGACGCTACCGAGTGTTCCCGTGCCAGGTCACTCCCTGGGAGATGCACTTTGGGGAAGAGAGTCTGTGGCCACATGAGTTCAGAACACTCAGCTTACTCTAGGTCCCTCGGGGAGTTCATGATCACACTAGCAAACTAAAGGTTCTGACAAGTCCCACAGGAAAGAAACCTGTTCCACTCTGTTTCCCTCAGTGATTAATGTAATCACAGGTCAGCCACTCCCACCTGCTCAGCCCAGCAGAGTCCAGCTGTACCTCCGATGACCATAGGTGCCCTGCAAGGACTCTCAAGAGGGACACGGCCACACCCAGTCTGCCCCTTACCTGTCCCGCGGGGATATGCCCGGGCCACCACGCGATTGCTGGCTCCCGCACACCCCCTTCGAAGGTGGTCTGCTTCCCGCACAGAAAGGGGCCGTTACTACCAGCTGGAGGAAGAAAGGTCACAGTCAGCCTGGGCAGCACCCCGAGGCCTGCAGCTTGCTCAGCAGTAGGTGTGGCCATTCTGGCTGCCTGTCCAGGCAGTGCTGCTGAATGCATCGAGATCATCACAAAACCTGGGGTCGGGTGAGGAGCTCAGATGCAGGTATGAGGCCAGAAAGCTCTGGAATTGCTTGGCGGTGGTCGTCAGGAAAACACGTGTGACACTGCGCCACACTCCCGTCCCCAGCTTGCTCTCTAGACCTCGTGGGTCAGAATGAGGCCAAGGTGGGAGGCAGGCAGGTCAGACCAAGCAAGGTGAGCGCAGAGAGGGGCTGAGGGATGAGAGCGGGGAGAGCCGCTTGGTGGGAAATGCATGCTGATGGACACCCCATCTCCATGGGAGGCGGTGTGGCCCTGCCCCAGCCCCCACCTGTACCTGACTCCCCACACCACATCCACAGGCAACCACACCTGCCCCTCCCCCCTTCTCTCTGTGTCCATGCACACAAGCCCTTGTCCCCTCGGCTCCCCTGCCTCGGCTCTCCCCCCATAGCTCTGCACAGCCCTACCAGTGGGCATGAGGGGGGCCACCAGGCACACTTGCCTTGTTTGGGGGCAGAAACGAGGGCAGCGCCATTGTCAGATGTGAAAAACACGAGTGTGTGCTCTGCGATGCGCAGGCCCCGGAGCAGCTGCAGGATCTGCCCGACACTGTCATCGACCTCTCGCACAGCATCCCCATACCTGCGGGACCCCAGGTGATAAGGGTATCAGGGCGCTCCCAAGAGCACCATCCCCTCCACTGCAGGGCAGCTCCCGAGCCACGGACACCATCCTTCTGTGGACAGGAGCACTGCAGCTCAGCGCCCATCCCTGGAGGGGTTGAGTTCAACTAAGGCCACCAGGCAGTCACCAGCACTCCATGACCAGACTCACCGCCCTCTCTGACTGGTCCCCAGGAAAGGCTTGGAGGCGTAGACAGGTGAATGCGTAGCATCGATGGCCCAGTAGAGGAAGAAGGGGCGATGCTGAGACTGCTGCCTCTTGATGAAGTCTAGGGCTTCCTGGGAGGAAAGCGCATCTCCCTCAGTCCCAGGCAGACCCTGCCCCAGCCTGCCGGCCCACTGCAGGTCCCACTACCTGCAAGTAGATCTGGGTGAGGTTGGCTTCCCCGGTCTTCAAATTAATTGGGAATTCTTCATAAAATCTGAAACCAACACAGACTCAGAGGAACTCAGATTCCAGGACAAGGCCTCCTTCTCCTAGACTCCACAGCAAAGTCATGGCCTCATTAAGCAGCATATGACACAAACTAGCTGTCTTACACCCACCCTGACACCAGGCCTGTGCAGTATGAGGTGAACTACAGCCCTGTTGCTGTCCTGCCTTTTGGGAGCAGGAGTGGAGCTGCAAATGATAAAAGCACAATGAGGTGGATCAGTGGTTGCCTGGGGCTGGAGGCTGGGGGGACGGGGTGACAGTTAAAGGGTGCAGGGTTACCTTTTAGGGAAATGAAAAAGCTCTAAAACTGGTGGTGGGTGTACAAGTCCATGCATATGCTGAAGACCACTAAGTTGTATGCTTTAAATGGGTGAGTTGTGTGGTTACACCTCAAAAAGCTGTTACAGAAAAGGCAACAGGCTGGCTCTGCCTTTGGTACTGACATGGGACAAGAGCTTCCAAAAGCTAAACCAAACAACATTCCTGCAAAGTGCCACGCTGGAGGAATCGCTTTCGGTGCCCACTTCAGCCCATCACTTCTCAATCCTGCAACTGTTTTCCTAATCATTGAGGGCGCAGCCGACACTTCTGCCAGGCTCAGGGTTCCTAGTGGGTGGTGCAGGCCTGAGCCCCCACACTCTGTGCCTGACTGTGATCACAGGGAGCTGGGCCTGGAAAGTGAAACCCCACAGTGTGGTCTCTAGCAAAGGACCCCATATGAGCACCTGAGGTGTTGGGGCAGAGCCCTACAAGCAGAGAGAACACAGCTTCAGCTGGAGCTAGGGGGCCACAGAGCTGGCTACCCTGTGGGGGGCGAAGTGGGGCTCTAAGAGCAGCTCACCCAATGCTCCCTGCAGGCAGGGGCAGGGATGGGGTGTTACCTGCTGACCACCTCCTAGTCCCTGTACACGGTGACCAGGCAGGAACAGGGACAGGGCATTACCTGCCGACCATCTCCCAGTCCCTGTACACAGGGATGTTGGGCTTGGCCCTGTTGTCGTAAGGTCCAAAGTGACAGTTGGGGGATCCAAACCACTCGTCAAAGCCGTGCTTCAGGGGGTGGAACTGGGGCCTGTGACCCAGGTGCCTAGGAACAGGGACCCAGGAACTCAGGACCCCGCCAGCATCTTCATACCATGTCTGGTGAGGCAGTGCTCACCAAGTGTGCCACGCCGCACACACAGGGTGCCAGGTGGCCTCACCTGGGGAGGGCTCAGACCCCCTGCCCTGCACCCAGCCCCCAGCCCCAGCAAAGTGTGAAGGCACCACGGGCACGGGGACTCGAGAGGCTCTGCCAGTGAACAGGAGCTGGGCCCTGATGTGTTAAATCACAACAAAGCTGACAATCGTGCCAATGCCATCACCCCAGGACACTTCTTCCTGACTCTTCTTGACTCTCAGGACCTCCCCCCGACCCTACCCCTGCAAGCTGTGGGCCTGGTACTTTCTCTGGGTCTGCCAACATGAAACCTTTCCATCAGGTAATCACTACATCCACCACGTCTGAATGACAAGGCACCAAGCCTCCCTCTGCCAGCTAGGACGGTCAGGTCCGAGTGCTGGCCCACAAGAGGAGGGACAGGCTACTCCATGTTGCAGATGTGCCCGGGTGGCTCACTACCCGAGATTGAGAGCTTAGTGCAGCCATTCCCACACTGTGATCACCACGACAGCGATCACTGCAACCGGTGTCTTGGCAAGGCCGTCTAGGGCATTGAGGAGGTTCCTGTTGCAGCTCCACCAGCCTACAGGCCACAGGCCCAGCTGTGGGGCTTCCTGCCAGGACAGGCAGACGGCCTGGCCTGCAGCGCTCACCACCTGACCTCTGGTTTCCCCACTACTCTGCCCAAGCTCTCCTTGCATGGTAGACACTGCAGGTGGTGCTTGGCCCTGGCCCAACATGCAGCACCCCCTGCATCCTCAGGGCCACCATGTGGCAGAGTGGTCTCTGCTTGTCTGGAGCATGCAGAAACGCCCACCATCTCAGCCATTAGGCAGCCCTAGTCACTCCCCAGGTATCCTCGGACTGCTGGCCTGGCCTCCACTAGCATCATCTGAACATGCTCCGAGCTGCTGCCCCATGGGGGAGGGGGTGGGGGAGGGGTTCTGAGCGAGGGGCAGAGCCCAGGAGAGAGGATCATGAGCTGGGCAGTCATCAGGGAGGGGGACAGGAAGTAGGTTCTGGGGCTCAAAGGGGCTCTACCTTCATACAGCCCCCAGGCTGCACACCTGGGCGCCACTGGGATGACAGAGGTGCAACGTGTACACACAGCGTGGGGCAGTGTGGCTACACAGGCACTCATCCCTGCTATTCCCCATCCCATAACTCAGAGCCACTTGCCCGCCCCCAACCCTGACTGCGTCCTATTCAGAATAGTCCGGCCCAGATGAAGGTGCCTCTGCTGGCTGACAGCGTTGGGTTCTGTGTAGAGGGAAGCTGATGGGACGCTGTGGGGTGCGTCTTGGCCTGGTTGTGCCCACTTCCTCCCAGGAATCGTTCCCCATTTGGAAAGTTTCCATGATGACCCCTGGAAAGCAGCACATGGCGGGGGCTGTGCAGGACCTGCTCAGACGGGTGTGCAGCACTCACCACTTGCCAACAATCTTGGTGGCATAGCTGGCCTCCTTCAGGAGCTCGGGCAGGAGGCGCTCCGAATCTGGAATGCCCCCCACGATGTCCTGGGGTGTGTATGCTGTGGAGAACAACACAGCTGATCTCAGGTTGTGCACAGGCCAGCAGATCTCATGGCTGGCAGATGTTTCACATTAGCTGGTAATGGGCCTAAAAGTCGGTCTGTCCTTGACCCCCATCGGGGTAAGGGTCAAGGCTGTGGTTGGGAGCCGGCATGTCGTCAGTGCAGCACCATTACTGGGGGTGGTGAGCAGGGGCATGGAAAGTGGGGACAGGGTCCATGGCTCCCTCCCACTGGCCCTCTGCCCACCCACCTGCTCTGCCCTCAGTCTCCATACTCACCCCCAACCCTCCCTGGCTCCCCAATCTGCTCTGAATACCCTCCTTTCTTCACAGGCCACCTGAAACCTCACTTCCTCTTTGAGTGGTAACTAGAGACCTCTTCGAAGCTCCCCTGCACTCTCTATCTGGTACCCTGCCCCACCCAGCTCCATCAATCTCTTTATGGACATACAGCTTGTCATCCAAGGGGGGCAGATGCTTCTGGGAGGCTGCGCCCCTGGGAGTGGGAAGGAAGGTCTGGTAGAGGCCGTGCTTCTGCCCCTACACGGCCGTGCCTTCTGATGGGAGGGCTGCAATCTGCTGTCAAACTGTGCTTCGTCTTAATAAGAACCATATCTGATCTGGGTGAGCAAGCCTGTCTTGGAACCAAGTGGTGCCCATTCACTACATGTGGGCCTCCACCCACTTCCCGCTCTCATCCTTGCCCCGATGCCAGCTGCCCTGCCAACAGGGGCCCCTTGTGGGAGGGCATACCGTTCCGGGCGTGCCCGTTGGTGGTGTAGAAGCCGTTGCGAATGGGCAGGCGTCCTGTGAGCAGAGCTGCTCGGGCTGCATGGAAATGACAGAAACATGGTTGAAGGCGCCATGAGGGCAAGGGCACTGTGATGGCACCGTGTCTAGGACATGTGTGCCATGTCTGTGATGTGTGCACACCGTCTGTAACACACGCGCACCATGTAACGTGTGTCGCCCCGTCTGTAACGTATATGCACATCTCTGATATGCACACTGTGTTTGTGATGCATGTGCACCGTGTCTGTGATGTGTGCCCTGTGATGCACGTGCACCATGTCTGTGACATGTGCCACGTCAGTGGTGTGCGTGTGATGCACGCGCCATGTCTGTGCGCTGTCTGACATATGCATTGTCTGATGTGCACGCCATGTCTGTGACTCATACACAGCGTCTATCATGCATGTCATGTCTGTGATGCATGTATGCCATGTCTGTGACACGTGTGCTGTCTGTGACGCATGCACCTTGTCTGTGACATGTGCGCCCTGTCTGTGATGCATGCGTACCACGTGTGACACGTGTGCTGTCTGTGGTACCTGCGCTGTCTGTGATGCCATGTGCTGTCTGTGACATACGTGTTGTGTCTGTGACACACGTGCATGTCTGTGACACACGTACTGTGTCTGTGACGCATACGCCCTGTCTGTGATGCATGTGCACCATGTCTGTGACGTGGGTGTCATGTCTGTGATGTGTGTGCCATGTTGGGTTTCCTCAGGGCTGCAACTGGTCTCTCGGCAGCCCCCAGGTCAAGCACCACCGTCCCCCTGCACAAGGGGTCACTGGTTGCACATGGCACTATGGGCCTCTGCACAAGGCTTGTTCTCCTAGGCAGCTGTTCCTTCTAGACCCCTGGCCCCTGGAGACGCTCCCCTCAGTCTTCCCCAAGAACAGCAGGCATCAGGCTGTATGACCACACAGGCCTGTCTTTGGGAGGAGAGGGGAATGTGATGCCCCCTAGGCCTTATCGCAGCTTGTCCCCAACACCATGCACACCCATGGCAGCCAAGGCAGCGCTTCGACCTCGGAAATCCCCTAAAGACTCAAGTCCATGGAGGTGCCTTGACGCACCCGTGTCCCACACCACAGAGCCCAAATGTTCCTGAGAGTCAGGTATCCAAAAGGAAATGTCTCAAGGTCCCTGGCCCCAGGCGGGTACCATGGAAATGAGCAAGGCTGATGCCAACCCTGGCTGTCTGGCCCCGCTCCAGCTGCAGGCAAGCATGACTTACATGGTGAGCACAGGGGGTTGGCCGAGTAGAAGCTGGGGAAGAGCGTGCCTTCTGCGGCCATCCGGTCCAAATTTGGGGTCTCTCTGGAAGGTTCTCCGTTCACCCCCAGGTCACCCCAGCCCATCTACAGGAAGAGCAGGGAGATGCGAGTGAGGGTCCGTCTGACACATGTATCTCCCCAGGGGGACATGGCGAGGCACACAGGGAGCCACACAGGGAACCACAGGATAAGTGTGCTCACAGACGGCCAGCTGGGCCGTGACCGGGGTCCACCTGTGCCCCAGGCTTTGCCAGTTCCACGGCTCTGTTTCTGTTTGATCTTCCACCAGTGATGGTGCCTGCATACATTTTCCTTTCTCCTGACCTCTGGCCCAACATGTCCATGCTCATGGGGAAATAGAATCTACAATATATCCATTTATCTATCTAAATCTTTGTTCAGTATAAAGAAGCAAGCTCTCATAAATCTGTTGTGCAAATTTAAATTTACGAACAAATGGTGTAGAAATTTAAAATGATGCAGCTGCTGTGGAAAATTGGCAGTTCCTCGAAAGGCTAAACATAGAGTCACCATATCACCCAGAAATTGCACTCCTAGGTATAAACCCAAAAGAATTAAAAGCAGGGACTCAAACAGACACCTGTACACCATTGTTCACTGTAGCATTATTCACAGTAGCCAAAAGGTGGAAACAACCCAAATGTCCATGAACAGATGAATGAATAAACAAAATGTGGTACACCTATACAACGTAATGTTACTCAGCCACAAAGAGAAATGAAGGCCTAATGCATGTCACAACAGGGATGAACCTTGAAAATGTGATGTTAAGTGAAATAAGTTAGACACAAAACGATGAATATTGTATGATCGCAACTACGTGAAATGTCTAGAACAGGCAAAGGTATAGACAAAAGTGGTTACCAGGGATGAGAGGGAGTCAAGAGGGGAAGTCATTGCTTAGGGGGCAATGAGTTTCTGTTAAGGGTGATGGGTCACAGAGAACTTAGTCGCTGCCCTTTGTTACCTCTTTTCTTCCTAGAAGTGTGCCATATGTGTAATTATATGTAGATCTCTTGCATGTATGTGCAATATAAGTGTGTGTGTGGGTGGGGTCTAGAGAGACAGACACAAACAGACAAGAGGACAGGAAGGTCCCACACACCACGCACTGAGCAATTGCTCTGGGCAGCAGGCTCCTGAGCAGTTTGGACTTTTTCTTTGTACTTTTCTATGTTTTTCTAGGTTTTTTTTTTTCATTTTGTACACACCTCACTGATAATTTTTAAAAAATAAAGGTATAGGGACAAAGGGCAGCTCCCAGCAGCTATGGTAAGGGGAACAAGCACCCATGTGAGTGAAAGAGGAGTCATTTCTTCTGACCTACCCACAAGGGTGGGAGAAGGAAAGGCAGCCTTCAGCAAGGCAGAAATGCATTCTTGCCCTGAGGCCACTCATTTGGGAATGGCTTGCTTAGGTCCAATGCACATTCTGAGATACAGGAATGGGGGTTGGCAATGCTTCTGAGGAGGAAAAACTTAACGTAGTGAACCAAGTATTCTCAATCACCCCTGTCTGCCTCTTCTTTTTAACTTTGAGGAGAAAAGCCCTTGGGGAGACAAACAGACATTCCACATTTCTATTTTCTAATTCAAGGGAAAATAGTCAAACAATTCTGTATGTAGCTCTTTGGGAGACCAATATGTATCGAACATCAGCAATGGTCAATATTGTCCCCCAGTCCTCAGGACATTGCTGGAGGAGGCTGTATGGGTCTGACTCTCACAGGTGAGCTGCTGAGGTGTAAAGAGCCAGGATAACCCAACTTTGGCCCATGGCTATGTGGAAAGGTGGGACCAGGCTTGTCAAATTTCCTACATTCCCCCCAACACCTTACGTCCACTAATTCCAGCATCTCCATTTTGCTCACCTGGCTCCTTGGATAAGGAACTCAGGGATGGATAGAGCAGCAAAATGACAGCCCAATGGCTCAGTCCCCTGGGCGGGGCAGGGGGAGATGCGGCTGAGCCCAGGGTTACTGCCACTCCCCCACTGCTGGCTCATCGATCCCACCTGTGGGAAGCCCCAGCCGCACTTGTGCTGGACAGGTGACATTCTGCCCAGCTGATCCCCCTCTGCTTTAGGAAGATGTGACCTTTGATCAAAGTCCTCAGGGGGCTGGAGTGGCTAATTCAGGTAAGATAGAGATCAGGTAAGCCACAGGTCGGAGGCAGGCCAGGCCCTGGGACTTGGTCAGCTCTGTACCCCTTCCTGTCCCCTCCCACCCAGGGCAGTGAGGCCGAGGTGAGCAGGGGTACACTGGGGCGGGTCTACGCCCCTGCGGCCCTTCCTTCCCCTCAGAGAGGCTGCAACACGGGACGAGCACAGAGGGCAGGTGGTCTCCCAGAGAGGGCGGGACAGGAATCAGGACAGAAGTCCCTTCTCAGAACGAGGAGTGGCGGCCTGACTGCGACCAGACGCCTGGCCTGCACCCCTCAACTCGGCTCCCGCCGCCCCTCTCCCGGACTCACGTCGTCCATGAGCATTAGCACGATGTTGGGGGGCTGCGGGGCGCCCACGGTCCCTAACCCCGCGGCGCTCAGCACCAGCAGCAGCCTCCACCACCTTGTCGCCGCGGTAACTGCAGCCATGGCAACCATGTCGGGCCCAGAGGAGCCAGGACACCGGCTGGAACCAAGTGAGCTCGCGGGCTGCCCTTCCGGCAGGTCCAGGGGCGGGGCCGCGTGACAGGCGGGGCGGGGCCACGGCGGGGAGAGGCTAGGCCAACCAAGTGACAGGCGCGACAGGGCCATGACAGCAAAGGAACAGGCTGGGCCTGCCACGTGACAGAAGGGGGGGGCCTGCGACGGCAGGGTTATAGGTGGGGTGGGGCCTGGGCCTGGCGCGTGACTGGCGGGCGGGGTCACGTGATGCCGCTGCAGGGCCTCCCAAGATGGCGGTGTGCATCGCAGTGATCGCCAAGGAGGTGCGTACGGCGGGGCCGGGCCGGGGGTTTGTCGTCTCTCTCCGGTTCCCGCCCCGCGCTCACCAGGGCCCACGGCAAGGTACCCAAATCTGGGCGCCCGGGCCTGCGGGCCCCCTGTCTCCGGGCCCCCCTTTTTCCTCGTTTCTCCGCCGTCTTCCTCTTTCCCTAGCTCTGCAGGATTCCTTAAGAAACGGGCTAGAGGAGGCCGTTGCCGAGCGGAGGCGCTCGGAGGGCGTTCACAGAGAAGTGCCGCCTAGTATGCCCGGAACACCCTCCTCAGCTCCAGACTCGCAGCCCCGCTCAGGCGCCTCACAGGCACCGGGCCTCCTCCCGGATCTTCCTTCTGGTACTCGGCTGGGAGCCCAGGAGGGGCCGTGACGCCCGCTCCCCATCACCCATCCATCAGCAAGTTCTGTTGACGCTTCCTGCGGAATACATGGCTGGCTTTCCACTTCTCTCCATCTCAACCACCACATCCTCTCACTTGACTGCCACAGCCTGGTCACCCGCTGCCCACCCCTTCTGCCATCTCTTCTGCACACTGTAGCCATAGTGCTTTTTTCAAACGCATCAGATCGCTCCCGGCCCCTGCCTACAATTGCTTTACTGGTTTCTTACTGACTAAGGACAACGTCTGAGTAACCCCCTTTACAGGATCCCCTGTAAGAGACCAACTGTGGGCCTCTTTTCTCCTCCCCAGCCTCGTACCACTGACTATTGCCCCCACCTCCTTCACTGGCTAACATACACTTCATTTCCCCTAGAAAGCCTTTTCTGAATCCTGTACTAAGTGGAGGAGCCCTGGTGGTGCAGTGGTTAAGTGGCTGCTAACCTGAAGGTCAGCGGTTTGAACCCGTCCAATGGCTTCTCATCAGAAAGATGTGGCAGTCAGCTTCTGTAAAGATTACAGCCTTGGAAACCCTATGGGGCAGTTCTACTCTATTCTGTAGGGTTGCTGTGAGTCAGAATCTACTGGACAGCAATTGGTTTGGTAAACTGAGTGGGCTGGCTGTCCACTTGCTCCTAATCACACAGCCATTGGTGTCCTTCCCAGAATCTTCCATAGGATCAGGCCCCTCGGAACTGTCACTACTCCACACAGCTGCCTGGTGGCTGCCCTCTAAGCATGTGCTTGGCCTGTCATTGTTTATAGTTCATTGACTGTGTCCTTCACCAGACTGGAGGCCCCCATTAGTGTGCGTTGTCCTGTTTACCGTTATCTGCAGTAGCTGCTGCTGGACAGATAGGCTGTGAAGGGTTGTGGCATGCACTGTGGGAACAAGGGAAGATACTGACTCTGGCTAAAACCTGAGGGGTTTAGTAAAGGGTATACTGGGTGGTACTGGCAGCAGATGACATGTTGGGGAACAGTAAATATTTGTAGTGCCAGGAGAAGGTGCATGCTGGGCTGAAGCCCACAGACTGCAAGAGGGGGGCTGAGGCAGAAAGGTAAAGTGCCAGGTGCACGGTGATGTGTTAGTTCTAGGGCTGAACTCAGACCCATTTCTTGGAGTCAGCTTCTCCTTTCTGTCTATCCTGTTGAAGCCTTTTTGCAGCCACTACCGGTCTTAGGTGAAATTAGATCTGGTCCCCTGACACGCACAGCAGCTTGGCAGTTTAAGCAGCAATTTCAGAGAAGGAGAACATATTCCCCTGCTCCCTGCAAAACACAGGCGAGCTGCTGGTGGTTTCATTTGCTCGTTTTCATGACCACTCCATTGTGTTGTTTTCGTAGTGGGGGTGTGCAGAGTGGATTTTTGTCACCTCAGCAGCCCTCATCCTTTCTTGCAGAATTACCCCCTCTACATTCGCAGCGTCCCCACTGAGAATGAGCTGAAGTTCCACTACATGGTGCACACGTCGCTGGACGTGGTGGACGAGAAGATCTCAGCACTAGGGAAGGCCCTTGTAGACCAGAGGGAACTCTACCTGGGCCTGCTCTACCCCACCGAGGACCACAAGGTGTATCCTCTCGTGCTCGCCAGGGCGTAGGAGGCCCAGGAGGCAGTGCTCCATGTGCTGCAGGGCTTTATGTCTGGGGTTCCATCTACAGTTGCAAGGCGTGTTTTTGGCTCAGAAAACCTTGAAATGCTTTTCTAACATCCCTTGGAAAAAAGGTGAGGGTTTTCAGCTAACCAGGGAATTAGGACAATTTGAGGCTAATTAAGGCCTCATAGTCTTTTCCCTTAATTGGAAGAATAATTTGGGAAAAGTGAGGCTTGGATTATATGGAGAATTTGACAGTATACATTCATTTCTTAAACTGAGTCTTAGAGGAAGTGGGGGCTCCTGCTTCTTTCCTGCAAGGATTTCTGTCTGAGCTTTTTCAGTGGGGCCTCCACCTTTAAGCAAGGGAGAATTAGGTAATTTATCTTTGTCATTAGGTCCAGCCCCACTATCAGCTGTGTCATCTGACCAGTCCCTGAGACCCAGGGAGTTCACAGTAGGTGTTCTTATAAGCAGTCCTGTAGCTTGCTCACAGTCATACTGGGGCCCCGGGAGATGCTGGTTTACAAGATAAAGTAGCCTTTAGAGGCTGGAAGAGCTTAAGCAGGAGTCTCTTTTTTTGTGAAACCACTGGCTTTGCAGTTAAAAACTCTGAGACCTGGACCAGTTCAAGGGGGACAAAGCATTCTGCATACACAGACAGACTGAGGATCTGGGGAGTTGGCCCTTAAGTTTGAATAAGGTGGGGCTTCCTGCCTGCCCCAGGAAGTGTCCAGGACCACACCATGTGGCCTGCATGGCCAGCCTGTTGCACCTTCTGTGATTCCAAGGTCGTCACATTTTTCCAATGTGGTTTTGCCATGGTGCCACAGGGGGGCGTGGAGAAATGGGCCTCCTCCCATGCACCCTCTCCACGTGGTTGCCGTCCCAGCAGTCCCTGTGTCTAAAGCATGTTCCCTAACCAGATGCTCAGGTACGGCTACGTGACCAACTCCAAGGTGAAGTTTGTGATGGTGGTGGACGCCTCCAACACAGCGCTGAGGGACAACGAGATCCGCAGCGTGAGCACCGGGTGGGGAGGCCTTCAGCGGGGGTCTTTATTTATTACACCACTGGTTTTGCATTTAAAACTCCAGACCAGGACCGATTCAAGGGTGGACGAGGATTTCCGGGTGCACAGACAGACTGAGGGTGTGAGGAAGTCAGTCCCATGAGTTTGAATTGGGTGGGGTTTGCTGCCTGCCAGGCATGGGTGTGCTTTGTGTGTTTTGTTTTATTTTCCCCTTTGTACTGTGTTTTAGGTGCTCAGAAGTGTGTACGTGTGAAGTAAAAGTGTTGTTGGGTCTCTTCTCAGATGTTCCGGAAGCTGCATAATTCCTACACAGACGTCATGTGCAACCCCTTCTACAACCCCGGGGACCGTATTCACTCAAGGTGGGCATAAGTCAGACAGAAGGGAGCTGGGGGTGGCATGGTGGGGCGGAGCCTCCCAGTTGGTATCCCAGGTGCAGCCAGCAGGCACCTGGACACCTCCACAGACCCCAGTAGGGTCCTCCCACAGGGACAGGAGCCCTCAAGGAGGAAACCTCCTCCTGTCACTGATCCACTCTGCTGACTCGGTCTTTTACATTGACCTTGGCTGTTAGAACATGGCATTGCAGGCGTCTTCCAAATGGCCCTGAAATAAGTACAGACTAGGGGGGGACGTCACGGAGAGCCCGCCCTCCTCTGAGTGCCCCCTCCTTGCAGGGCCTTTGACAACATGGTGACGTCCATGATGATCCAGGTCTGCTGAGCAAGACCTCGCTGCTGCTGGCCAGAAACACACCTGTACATACTGTATCATGAGATGTGTGTATGCTGTCCCTAGCCTCTTCTCAGCATAACACACCTGCAGCTGGGCTGAAGCCTGCGTGTGGATCACTAAAGCTTGTGTGAAGTCAGACTTGGAGTTTTCCTTCCTTGTCAGCAGAGGAATGAAGAGAGGCAGGGGGTACACACAGCAAGAAGCCACTGCCCCCACTGGGCGTGGGAGGCGGGGGACCCCACAAGAGGGTTGCAGATGGCTGGAGCTGTGACCACAGAGCATGGGCCCCGGCAAGGCTTGGGGGCAGGGGCACACAGGTGGCCTCTCCTACCCCAGGTCGTGGTCTGTGGCATTGGCCACCTGAGCTCAGTACCAGCAGGGTAGGTGGAGGCCTGATCTGAGGGTTTGCAGAGGGGATGGCCATGCACCGTCCCACTCTGGGTGAGGCCTGGCCTCTTCTGGCCCGGTTGGCAGACGTCCGAGGGCTCATCTGCACCTGGCCCCAGTTGCCTCAGCCCCTCTGCACAGACCACACCATGCCTAGAGCCCTGTGACTGGGCTGTCCTGCTGGCCGCCACCGTCTGCTTCCTGCACATCTCAGTATGCAGAACTGGGAAGGACCAAGTGACCTCTTCCTGCCTACATTTAATGGCTCGAGCTCGAGACGGGCTAGGAGATGGGTCACTGCAGCCATGCTCCCCACCCCTGGGCAGGCTGCTTTGGGGTTAAAAGTGAGGACCAGCTGGTGTAACTGGGTTTCCTCACTCTGTACCCCCAGAAACCTGCCTAGCCATGACTCCAGCTGACCCCGTAATTGAGAGATTGCAGCTCCTTGTTGGGGTTGGTCAGCTCAGATCCTTTGTGTCTCCTGTCCACCTTGGGCATCCCCCAGTAGAACTTGGCAGTGGGCATGTGGGGTCTATGCACACAAGGAACCATTCCTGGTCTCTTGTAGCTTCTGTGTCTCCTGGCGTTCCTGGGCTTGTGGTCACATCACCCTAGTTTCTGCCTCTGTTATGTACCCTTTTACTTTGTGTGTCCGTCTCTGTGTATCTTACAATAAGGACACTTAGTCATTGGATTTAGAGCCCACCCAAGTCATCCAGGATGATCTCATCTTGAGACCCTTCATTTAGTGACATTTGTAAAGACCCTTGTTCCCAGTAAGGCCACACTTGCAGGTTCCAGAGGTCAGGATGTGGATGCATTTTGGGGGCCACCATTCAACCCACCATGAGGGCCATCGTTGACCCAAAGTCACAAGGGCAGGTGAATCCAGCTGCGTGAAGATGTCAGAGAAATGTGTGAACAAGTAGGGTGCCACCCCCTCCTAGAGAGTGGCTACCCTACCCCTGTGGTGGAGGAGAGGGCCGGGGACTCTGGGCCCAGCATCGATGGCGATGTTCAAGATGGCCTGGGGTGGATACCAGCCTGCCTGTGAGGTGACGTGTGGCACAGCCCCAACCAGGGTGTGAGGAATTAATAAAGGTAGAGTAATAAGGAGGGTTGCTCCAGAAAAACCCAGACAGCAATGTCATTATATTTAACGCCAGAATCAGAAGTGCTTGCACCTGGTCAAACTTTCAAGTAGGAGAGGGGGAGGACAACTTGTCTTTGACATTGGGGGGGGCGGGGGGCGGTGGAGTGTGTGGACCCAGAGGCCAGCAGACCCTGCTGCTGCCCCAGTTGCCTCAGGCCTGTACGTGGCTCCAGCCCCGACTGTTGACTGTCGGTGGTCAGGTGGGTAGGACCCAGTTTGCCCTGACCCACGGCCACACCCACTGGCACCTCTGTGAAATCTGTGCCTGAGGACAGTGACCACGTGTCCAAGATTAGGGGATAAAAGGCAGACCTGGTGTCACATGCTTTTAAGATCATTCAAATTTAATAATTTATGCTTTACCATTAAGATACAACATATATTTGTTTTCTTTAAAACGAGTTGGTTGAAGAGCCCTGAGAATGCCACGCCCACCCCCACCTGCCCAGAGCTTGCCCCGTGCTGCCCGCTGAGGCCCAGTGTGGCACTCCTTGTCAGGCTCCCACTGTGTTGAGGGCTGTGTGTGGCCCAGCCATGGCCCCGGGTTGCTATGGAAGAACTTCCTCCCACCCCAGTGATGGGACGCCAATTCTCGGGGATCCCCAACCTCCCTCATCCGCCTCTGTATTCCCACGCAGCTCCCAGACCCACCAAGCTCCCAGCCCTTCTGGAATAAGTGGTCTTTCCTGTGCTGAACTGTCGGCTCCTGCCCCAGCCCACAGCCCCGGACGAAAAGTCCAGTCCTCTCAGTCAGTAGAGTGAGAACCATGGGGAGAATCTTCCACGCCCCCTGCACAGAGAAGACAGCACGGTCAGGGCCTTTACTGGGCAGACAACCCTAGACCACGGAGGTCACATCAGATGCAGGTCATGGGCAAGGGCACAGCCAGCACTTAGGGGCTTTTAGGGGAACAGGAAAAGGTGGCTCCTCCAGGCAGGTCATTGCAAAAAAGCCCCATGAGCTGATGCAACACCCCGGACCTGACATCGGCCCTCTGCAGGGTGCCCTGTGTGTGATGACAGCTGCCGAACCAGAGCTGCAGTGACCAAGGCCCCAGCTGCTGCAGAGAACTGAGCAGCCCCTAAGGCCCACGGGGTCAAACTCCGGGAACCTTCCACCCAGGCACAGGTCCAGGCCCCTGCTGGGTGGCCCAGCCCCCACTCACTGGTTCAGCCCTCGGGATCTGAACATAGGTCCGCCCTGGAGGCTGCTGCAGTGGAAGGCACCTCTCCTGGCGCTCGGGTGTCCTCGTAGGCCCCCTCGGTCTGTGGAGCTGATTCCTGGGAAGTTGGTCCTTTTGGGCTGCACCTAGGACAGAAGGTTGAATCAGGCTGACGGGGACACACGCACCCCTCCCTCTCCCTGCCAGAACAGCCTAGATCCAACCCTGCCTGGAACCCAGGGTCAGCGATGCCTCCAGGAAGTCTTCTTGGGTTTCCTTGGTCTCTTGTGCACAGACCAGGTCTTCAAACCCTGCTGAGAATTTGCGTTTCTCACAAATTCCCAGGCAATGCTAATGCTGCTGGTTAGGGACCAATTCTGAGAACTACTAGCAAAGCAGTGGTTCTCAAAATTTATACATAAGAATCACCTGAGGATCTTGTTAAACTGTGGATTCTGATTCAGTGTATCTGGGGTGGAAATGCAAATTCTCAGCAGGGCTTCAAACTGGAATGAGCTGGTTTGAAGCCTTGGCACAGACCCCACGTGCCCACCCTGAGTGTGAGGTCAGAGCCTGAGTGTAGCACACCCCCACCTCCCTACTCCTGCAGTGCTGGCCCTGCAGATACCCTCATGGGCACCTCAGATCAGGACAGGTCCACAGTCAATAAGCTGGCTTCTAGCACCTGTGACCAAGCCAGCTGTCACCCACACTGCCCAGACCCCCTTGGACAAGGTGCCACACACTGAATGGTTGTCACACACTGAATAGCCATATCTGCAGCTGGAAGCCCCTTCCTCTGAGCCATGCTAATAGGCTTGGCCCAGGCACCCAGACTGCAGCTGCCCAGGGCATGGAGCTGGCCAAGCCGTTGGACCCCAGAGTGTGCCCTGAACTTCTTTCTCATGACGACTATTTAGGCCTAAATTGGGAGGGGGGAAGCAGCTCCCATCTGTCTACCTTCACCTGCATGCAAGCAGGACGCAGCCATGGTCACGTGCACCAACAGCCCATTTCACTGTCATCGTTTCCCTATGCAGGGGGGACAAGCTCGTTGGGGACCCCATGCCTGAGGCTTTCCAGCCACCCGGGGTCACTGCAGAGTGTGGACAGGGGTGTTCTAGGGGCGGCTGCATGTCCTCGGGTCAGTGCGCGGCCTCCCTGCGCCCATCACCACATCTTGCTGGAGGCTTGTGAGTTAACTGTGTGCAGAGCGGAGCCGGACCCCTACCCCAGCTCTGCAGCCCAAGGCTTGAGCCCAGAGGTGGGCTGACTTCGGGCGGCTGCGCAGACACACACCTTGATGATGCGGTCCCGGAAGACACTCTCGTCCAGTTTCACAGCAGCCTGGATGGAGCTCACAGCAGCAAACTCTATGTAGGCGTAGCTGGGGTGGGAGGGGGAAGGGGGCAGGGTGAGGGGCTGCCTCAGGGCCATCCTGGCCCTAAACCAGACCCCACACCGCCCAGCCCCTCAGCCTGCACCCCCTACTGACCCCTTGGGGTGTCCGGAGAACTTGTCACACAGGATGGTGACGCGGTGGATCTCCCCACAGGGGTTGAAGAAAGCCTCCAGCTCCTCAGCCGTGGCCCCGTAGTCCACCTGCGCACAGGTGTTAATACCTGGGCCCTTCTGGAGAGGGAGGGGCTGCTCCTTCTTTCAGCCCCACCCTTTCTCAGGCACCTCCAGGCCTGGAGGTAGAGAGGGTCAGAAGGAACCGAGATTGGCAGGATGGTGGCCAAGACCCTCCAGAGACAGCTGCTCCCCGTGGAAACCCTGCAGGCTGTGTGGCCCCACGTGAGCACTTGGCTGTGCAAAGTCTGTGTGTGGCTTTTCAAAGGTGGAATCAGTGGCCATCACTTAAGCAGAGAGGATATTTCATGGGGACATCCCAGTTCCAGCTCATGTTGAGGAATCGGAAGGCCTTGAGGGGGCAGTCACCCCCACCCATCAGACCTGCCCCTCCCGCTTGGCTCCCAAGCCCTCCACCCTGGGGGCATTCAGGCCTGCAGCCCCTACCCCTATCCCAGCAGCCAGAGGAAGTTCTGTCCTGTTTTACAGGGGTCCCTCGTGGGGCTGCCCATCCTGGTGGGAGGAGGCAGAGTGAGCCAGTTGAGGGACCTGACCCGATCTCATGCCCCACTCACGTTGCCCACGTAGATGGATCTGTGGTCAGCCTCCATCTTCTCCTGAGGACTCTCTGGGAGGGGGAGACCTACGAGGAGGGGGGCCTCAGGGTGGCTGCTGGGCGCATTTCTCACACCCCTGGGGGATGCACTGGACTTCTGGGGAGCCAAACCTCAGGGCTGTTCTAGAACACCCCAGCCCAGGCCTGGGGCTCCTGGAGACCATGTATATCCCTGGGCCGGCCCTTCACCCACTGGGGATCCCACCCACAGCTCCCTGAGGCAGCCTGCAGCCAGCCTGTTCCCTGGGGATGGGGGAGCCCCCGTGCTGGGACTGAGAGCAGGGAGGGAGGCCGGTGGTTCTTACCCGTCTCGGGACTCAGTAGCCCTCCAGCCAGCGCAGCCCCCGCGCCCTCCTCTTCCAGGGCAGCACCCTGCACGGTGGGCAGCCCTGGCGGCTCCCCAGCCTGCTCCATGGCCCACAGCTTCAGTTTGATGGCCTCCAGCTCCTGGCAACACAGCACCGAGACTCCTGAGCCCACTGAGGCCCCAGCCAACACCATGGGGTGTCCAGCTCTCAGCTCCCAGCTCCCAACCCTGCCGAGGCCCTGCCCGACCCCGTAGGGTGCCTGGCTCCTCACAGCCAAGGGTGGGAGTGCAGCTAGCCAGCCCTACAAATGAGAGAGCTCCACTTGGCCTGTCCTGAGGGTCCCCGGCCCCTCAGGGACAGGCCTCCCCTCCTCCAGAGCCCACTCAGGTGAGGGAGAAGGGAAAGGGCAGGCTCTCCTTCCTGAGCCTCACCCTGTTGCTCACCACCATGGAGATGGACTCAAACCCGCAGAGAGGACCCCGGAATCTCCAAGGGGACCACTACTGGGAAGGCCCCCAGGTCAGAGAGCCTAACCTTCCCGTCTAAGCTGGTGGGAGGTGGGGCCAGGGCTCCCTCTGGGAGGAGGTGGGCAGTGCTCTCCTATCTTAAGCTAGAGTTGTACTATCTCTCCTCCGCCCTGAGGGTGGGGCAGGGGCTCCAGAACAGGAGAGGCCCTGCCCCAGGTTTCCCCTGGCTGGGCACTCTATGTAGCCCAAGCCAGCTGTCACTTGGTCAGGTATGGCTGTTACCTGGTCAGGTACTGCGCACTCGGCCAGGTTCTCCCTCTCTAAGAGAGAAAGAGGGAAGCTTGCGTCTTCATTGTCTTCTTTCTTTGCTTCCTCTTTCTTCTTCTCCTCCTTTTCTTCCCCATGCCCCGGCCCCAGAGGGGGCTTCCCTGTCCCACTCCAGGCCCCCCAGCCCTGGGCCTCAGGGTCCAAGGTGGCTCTCTGGAGCCAGGCCTCAGTGGGGGGTGGGAAGAGAGAGCTGCTTGGGAAGGGCCACATGACCAGGCTGGAGGAGGAGGAGAGCCTGGGCGAAGCCTCTGCTTTGCTCACCTCCACTGCTGACACCTGCAGGGCCTCTGGAGTCTTAAGCCCTCACAGGCCAGCTGCTCTCACTTGAGCCCTTAAACGCCCTACTGAGCTGGGGCTCCAGCCTGGCTTCTCAGCCCTAAGGGGTTAAAGCCCTGCCCCTGGCTGCCCCCTTCCCCACCCAGGTAGGTGCCTCTAGGACACTATAATGGGGCTAAGTGGGGTGTGGGAGACTGCAGTGCTCTCAGGAACTCCTGAGGGCTCAGGAAGCCTACCTGGGGTCATCGGCACTAGGCTGGGACAGTTGTCTGAGCTCCCAGGAGCAGAAGCAGGAGCATGGTTGCTGGCACATGGGAGTAGAGTGGGCATCTGACAGACTGGGTGGGCAGAGGAAGGGTGAGGGGTTTTGTGAGACTGGGGTGTGGGCAGTGGGGGCTCAGATGCAGTTACAGGGGCCCTGTGGGCTGGCCCAGGGCTGGACGCCCGGCCCAGAGCAACTTCTGTCTGTCCCTCTTGACCTCCCACTGTGCCCCATGGGCCCTCCCCACCCCATCCCGACCAGCTCTGAGTTGAGAACCCCTTAAATCAAGCTGTGATCCTCTCCTGGGTCCCATGGGGGTTCCCTGGGGAGCCTGAGGGATGTGTTGCTAATGTTGGAGTTATGTGCAAATTGGCCGTGGGTGTTTGGGGTCCTCAAGAAAAAGTACCCCCTCCACAGTACTGCCCAGCTTTCCAACTCCTTTGTCTTTCCCTGGATGGTCATCTTTTCCTGACCCATCCCCCTGTGTCCACCTCGCCTCCACCATTCCATCCATGTGCAAATGGGTACTCTAAACTTCATGTCCCATCTCAATGTGTCCTACTCAGTCTTCTCACTGTCCCTTTCACTGGACAGAGAAGCCAGCACCCCACCCCCAGGCCCTGCTGTGTGGGATACGGTGCCAGTGTTCTGACTCATGTCTGTTCATAGGGGACCCCTTCTGGCATGTCTGCCTACCAGCTGATAGTTCTTGCCTTTAGGGGACACGGCCCTGCTCCAAATCGAAGCCCTGAGCAGCTTCTGCTCTGTGAGTCTCCCATCCCAGTCATAGCCAGTTGGTCCAAGTTGGGCCAGTTGGAGACTCTTCACTGGGAAATTGGAATTGTAGGAACAGAGAGACGGGAGTCGTAGCCCTGGTAGAACTGTCTCTCATAACCTGGGAGCTAGGACATCCATCTTCCTCCCATGTAGTGGCTGAGCATGCAGAGGGTGGGGATGAAGCAAGTGAGTCCTGGACAGTGGGGAGATGCTCTTCCAGGCTGAGGGAAGCTGGCCAAGCCCCAGAGGGGTCCAGAGAAGCCCCTGTCTCCAAAGAGGCCGACCTAGCATCTGTGCCCTTGCCTCCTGGACCCATGAGGAAGGAGTTCGGCTTCCACTGGGCTAACCCAAACAGCCAGGAAAAGGTGAGATTCCAGTCTGAGTCCTTGCCTCCATGCCCTTGCTACATGAGCCTTCTACCTATAACGTCCCCCTCAGCTGGAATTTCCACCATCCACGTGTGTTACGTGAGCACAACTCCAGGGGCCCATCCCCATCGAGGTATGTGCCGCTACCTCCAGGCAGCCTGCCTGGATTGCTCCTTCTCCCTTGAGTTACCATGGTGCCTGGACCTGCTCTGGGTAAGTTATTCATCCCCAGGGAGCCCCTAGCCAACCAAAAGTGCCTCAAGAACAGAGCCTGCAACTGCCCACCTGCACTGAGGACGGGGCCTCGGCTGAGTTTGACTAGACGAGCTGGGGGCAGCCACTGTCCATGTTGGGCCTCCTGGGCTGATGGCCTCAGGCCCAGCTCCCCGGCCCCCACGCCCAGCCTCTGCAATGGAGACACAGCGTCATGCCCTGTCTATACTGAGTCTGCTGACATGCAGCCCCAGCTGGGGCTCCAGCCAGTGCCTGGTGTGGGGACAGGCTTGCCCCCTCCCGGCCTTTCAAATGACGCTTTCAAAATACACCGTGTTCCAAGCCTGAGCTGAGTATTAATAACAGCCCATTCCTTCAGCCCCATTCCAGGGAGCTCGAGGTCCCGCACCTGGTTCTGGGCAGCCGCTGCCTGCCCCTGAGCACCCTGACAGCCACACTGTTGCTCCTTGGGGGATGAGGAGTCCCTCCCGCCCATGCTCACCCTCATGGCATGAGGTCTGTTGGGATGAGGTTCTAGTGCCGCCCAGAGTCAGCAGACACACTCAGGGCTCTTGAAATCAGCAGAGCCTCCCTGAGCTAGCTCAGAGGTTATCCAGACCTCCGGGGGTACAACCTTTGAGGTGCTCCCAACAGCCAAGAACTGCAGGAGGAGGTGCCGGCCCCCCCCCATCCTCTTCACACCCTGACACAACACCCCAGGTCTGCCTGTCTGTCTGCTGTCCGTCTCCCCGCTGCCAGAGCACAAACTCCACAAAGGCAAGGGCCAGTCTCTCAAATGTGGGCAAGGGTCCATGTTGAGTCACCAGGAAGTCAAGAAGGGGCAGAACCATGTGATGATGGTCAAGTTCGCTTTATTACAGGGATACAGGGTTAACTGACGCAACCTGAATCATCATGTCTTACAGCGTCCACAAGTCATAGGACAGAACACCAGAGGGGGACACGAGGGGGGGCATGCCACAGTCCCCACACATCGCCCAGGTGGGGGCCGAGAACGGGGGGAGTGGGCTTCGTGTTTCAAAAATCCCATTACAGGAAAGCAACCCAACATCTCGGTTCAACTCCCTGGTGGGAAATAAAAAAGAAGTGGAATTGGGAAATAAAGGTGTACCCCACCCCCCGCATATGCCTCTGGCCCAGTTTCCATTGGCCCAACCCCTTGGCCGTGCAGGACTGGTGGGTAAGCTGGAGGCTGCCTGGCTGGGCCCCCTTGTCCAGGTAGGGAGCAGGGGTACTGATGCCTTCATTTTGGTAATTAAAAAACAGGCTCCAGCTCTTGCCCCAATACTAATTTACTGCAATGCGGGCTCTTTGGGAAGGTATGCTAGGGCCAGATGAATTGAAGCGAAAGGAACAGAAAGTATGTAAGATGGGGTTTTCTGGAACTTAAAGGGAACAGTGCAGGTGTTGTTGCAGACAACCAGCTCCCCTAGAGAGGTATCCCGAGGGGCAGACAGACCCCAGGATTCTAGCTCTTCCGCCTTTTTCCCTCTGCCCTCACCTCTCCTCCTTTTCTGCCAAAATGTATGTAGCCAAGATGGGGCCTTCTCCCAGCACCGTTTTGGAACAGGGCCCACCACGGTGTGGAGGGCAGTGTGAGTGGACAAGAGCCCCGGGTTGAGGGGGGTGGTGCTTCAGGGAGCCTGTGGCTGGGCCTGTGGGGGTCCCGGGACCACCCCCATCTTCAGTCCAGTTCAGCCTGGGTGGAATTCTGTTCCTGGATGGACACCATTTCAGATGTGTAGGGCTCACCTCTAGCCACCTGGGACCCCAGGGAGGAAGATGGGGTGGGACTGAGGAGAGACAGACCAGGAGGACCCCTCAGCAAGGAGTGGGCTCCAGGCCAGGGGTCACTGGCTTCTTTCCCTACCACCTCACTCTCTCTTCCTGGGACACCTCCTCAGAAGGTGACCACTGGAGACAAGGGGTAGAGGGCAGGCCCTGCCCTTCAGTCCACTCTTGCCAGAGAATGTGCTCACCATGAGGTAGGTGTATGGGAGGCTGCAAGGAGGCTCCTGGCCAGTGTCCACTATGCTCACCAGGCTGGCCCCAGTTGGCCAAACTGTTGCTAGGCTATTGGGCCAAACTGCCGACACTGCCTGCAGCAGAACCATCTCTATCCCTTGGAGGTATTTGGACCAGGACTGGGGCATGGGAGGCGGTTGCCCCACAGGCAGGGTCCTTAGTACAGTCCTCGTTGGCTCAGGGTGGGAAGCAGCTGAGACTATGGGAGCTTCCAGATTGCCCTTGTGAGTCTGGTGCGCTGAAGACATTGGCACGGGTGGAGATGGGGACGGGGATGGATGCATGAAACGATAGATGCATGGGTTAGATTGGAGGATGGCTGGCTGGTTCGATGGCCGGGTGGGTATAGGGATGGGTGGTGGATGGACAGGTGGATGCGTGAAAGGATGAATGGATGGGGATAGTGTGAAGTGATAGCTAGGATACAGTGACGGACAGATAAATGGATGAATAGGGATGAGTGGATGGATTGATGGATGGATAGATGGGCAGATGAATGAGTAGTTGGATGGATGGATAGGTGGATGGGTTAGAAAGATGAAGTGATGAAAGAAAAGAATGAATAAATAATTGTGGGTAGGCTGAGATGGCAGACATGATGGCCACTAGAGTAGGGGTAGGGCAGGGAAGCAGGGTGGATGCCAGAGATGGGGTTTTGGTGTCAGCTTGAGTATCTATTTGGAAAAATTGGCAAATAGGAGAAAATTAGGGCCAGTTCTGATCTCTCCACCATGTTGTTGGGATGAAACCAAAACCAAATCAGCCCAGGCCTTCCTGCCCACCTTCTTCTGTCATGGAACCCTCTCCCTTCCAGGGAGGTGGCTCCTCCTGTCCTCATGGCCAGTTCCTTCCTGGGCCCTTAGAGGCCTTCTCCAGCTTTGCACTTGCCTACTCGGGGACAGCCAAGGCTCCCCCCTTTAATCCTAAAGAGCTGCACCCATGTGTGTAATGGGCACACTGGTCTGTGCCATAGTCCCTGTTGTAGGAAAGGCCTGGAGGGACCCCCCCCCCCGGGTGGGTAGCTAATTCCAGCAGACCCCGTGAAAAGATCCAACAGAAAATCTCCCAGATACACATCAGAGGCTGGGACACTTCCCATGAGAAAGGCCAGCCTGGAGCTGTGGCAGAAAGGGCCATGAAGAGATGAGGAGGGGCTGGGGAGAGCCAAGGGGTCATGCCTAACAGTATCCACACTGCTGTCCACTCATCTGCCCATCTGTCTACCCAAGGGCTTGTACGCTGGGCTGGGGGAGCCCCAGCAGCTGCCTTGCCTCCCTGCCTCTGTCAGGTGTCCTGTCCCAGCTTTGGCCTCAGAACAGAGAGTTGAAGCTGCCATTTGGTTTGGGATTTCTGTGAGCAGTGGGGCCTCACAGAGCTTTTGGTTCGACTGTGAATACGGGCTTGGTGGTGGCTGTGCAGGGAAGGGACACAGTGGTCTCTGGGTCAGTGGTCAGTGAGCTCGTGGAGGTACAGGGCAGTACCCACCCAGGGGTACTGCCAGAACCTTCCACCTAGACGCCCCCCTACATGGAACGAGACAGACACAGTGCAGACTGGGGTGGGGTGGGGGGGACGCTGGCCAGCCCCATAGCTCCCAAGGTGAAAACTCTGCCCACTCCCATCCCCTCCCCAAAGCTGTTGAGTTTGGTCCCGCCCTGTGAGGTCTTTGGCTGGAGGGGCCGAGCACAGTGATGGACAGAAAAGGCCCAAAACCATCCTGGAAAATGTCACTGCCTTCCGTAAGCCCCCTGGGTGGAGAGGCTGCCTGGGTTCCCCCCACCTTGCTGCCATCCCCCCGTTGTGATATTCTTGGCTGGCAAGGGCTCCTTCTGTTGGTGAGACCCCAGCAGGTGGGTTTCTTGGTACACAGTAGGGAATACTCTGGGAAACTGGGTATTTCAGTTTTGGTTCAGGGGACATCATCTTCCCAACAGACTGCCCAACCTCAGAGCCTCAGCCCTGTGGCCCAGCCCCTGGGTGCTGGCCAACCATGCTACCCTCCTGCACCCCTGCTTGGCCCTGAGGGGGAACCAGTGAAAGGAAGTGAAGAAGAGGGTTTATCATGCTGAAGAGCATGTCTCCAGGTGAAGGGTTCCCCTAAGGCTCAGCTTAGGCCAGCACCTCCTCAGGGACCAAGCCCCCCAAAGTCCTGACAAGCAGAGATTTGAGTCACCAAGGAAGCTGCCCCTGTGTCAGCCCCAGGCCACCTCATCAGACCTCCAGCAATGCCTAGGATGTTCACAGACACCCCATGGGTGTGCACCCCACTGGCTGCACACCCTATGGGCCACATACCCCATGAGCCACACACCCCATAGACTGCTCACTCCATGGGCACATACCCCACCAGCCGCACACCGTCTTGGACCACACAATCCCATGTGCTGCACAACCTCAGTGCCCCTGCCCTCTGCAGACATGACCCCACTTTCCTCTACAAACATGGTGCCTACCTCCCTACTGGTTACTTGGGGTCTTTGTAACCACGTGGTCAACTGTCCCGCCATCCTCGAAGGCACAGGGGGATGCACAAAGATGTCAGGTGGGAGAATGGGGTTGAGGATGGAGTCAAAGGAGTCCACCTCTGAGACGGAGCAGGTCCAGTTCGTGGACATGTCCGAGACTGAGGCAGTGATGGGTCCAATGCACGCAAACTGGAAACACCAACCACTAGATTTCCACTTCCTGATTGAGAACCCAAATTCCAAATTGGCCCTTGCTTCTCTGAAACCCACAAAAGCAAACCCTGGACAGCTGGAGGTACTCGCGGCACTGGGAGATGAGCAAGGCGGAGGGGACCTGGGAGTTTCTGGAGAGTCAAAGCTACCTATGGCGACCTTTAGAGTTAGCTTTCAGCTGCCAGGCTTGTTTTGGGACAGGCCTCGTCTCTGGCACTCGACTGAATCCTTCCTTCAATGCTCAAAGAATGAATGTTTACAACTCTGAAAATTAGCAGCACTCAACCAGCCATGCTCCCTAAGGGCCACAGTTCCAGTTTCGCTGAAGATCTGTCTCGTACGTGTCACATACTTCTGTGGTTTCTCTTAATTTTTTTTTATTTGGCAAACATTTCTTATTATTATCATCATCACCAGGAATATCATTATTTGGACCTCTGCAAAGACTATATACATTCACATTAACGTACAATATTGACTTCTTGCCTCTCGGCGGGGGTCCTCCAGGAACCCCGGTTCAGTAGCTGGGATCATTCTCCGTATTGCACTCTCATCCTTGGAGATTTTGACAGCGATGCAAGAACACGCGGGATCCCCAACACCGCGTTTGTTCTTCACCCAGCGTGAGCGGAGCTTTCTTACTCCTTTATTTCCTCCTTGAAATTGCTGAGGGCGTCGAGTGGTGGGGGGTAAGGGTCAGCGTGGGAGGGGACGAGCTGGGGAGGAAACATTAGCCCGTTGCACCACAGGCCGGAGGCAAGCAGGTCTGGGAGGCAGCTGGAGAGGAATGCGAGGGTTATATACAGCTGATCCAAGAGTCTTCACAGGTGAGGTGAGGGCGGGCTGCTTTTGTTTGTAGGTTTTTTTTTTTCCCTGCAAAAGTTTGGAAGGAGAGTAGCTGCAGTATGACTCGGTGGCTGGGGGCTGAGACAAGACCGGAGGTTGGGGGGTGGCGCAGGGCGGAAGGAGAGGTAGAGGAGGAACAACCGGATGTGGTCGTTGCAGGCACAGTTGCCATCTCCTCACGCTTTGAAAGCAGTCCAGAATCAACCCACAAGATTGTCACAGTTTCAGCTTGGAACAGTGAGCTCTCTGGGGAGAACACGTTAGCACTTCTTTTTCACATGTGGAAAAATCAAATGTGATGAGAATTATAGAGGGCATGAGGACAGACAGAGGTATCTTCCCCCTACACACACGGAGACTCGCAGCTGTGCGCTGTGCACACACAGACACACGTGTGCACAAGATCTGTGTGTGCACAGACACGTGCTGCACACAAGACGTGCACACACAGACACGTGCGCACACAGACCGGGCATGTAGGTACATGGCGAGGCTGGGTCTCCACCGCTCCCTCCATCTTCACCCGGCAAAGGTGCAGCTGCTTAGTGGGAAAGAAATAAAAGGTCGCTTCTTGTCGGGCAAACGCCCCGCAAACCCCAATATCCCAACACCCCAAAAAGGAAAACAAAAGAAAGAGACCGACATCCAAACAAACCCAAGAGTGGAATAAAACAGTGAAAAAAATACTTTGGCAGTGACCAAACCATTTTGGATTTTGATTTCTTGCATTTGCTTTTTGGATTTCCTTTGGAGCAGAGGTGTGTCCGGTATCCTTGGCTGGCTAGCTAGCAAGGTAGTTTACAAGTATGCTTCCTTTACTTGCTTAAAAAAAATCTTTTTGGATTTTTACTTAAAGCCAAAGAGCTGACATTAAAGAAACAGAAAAAGAAACCAAAACCAAAAATGCCTCTTGAGTCTGAAGCTGAAATCTTTCTTGCCGTCCTGGCTGTATCCACACACACATAGCCGGTGTGGTTTCGGAGACACAGCAGCTGAGGTCTTTGGCTAGAAAAGAACAGTTCTCTTTTTCCCTTTTTAATTGGGAGGGAGGAAAAACCCCACAGTTTTCTTTGTCCATTTCTGAGTAGCTCTTTTGCCAACAGAACAAAATAAAAACCCAAAAAATCTTTGCTGAAAATATAAACCACCAAACAATTGGATGTTTTTCCATTAAAAAGAAAGTGTGTGAAATTCACAAAGACAGAAAAACGAGAGAAGCAGAGAGAGAAAGAGAGGGAGAGACAAAGCCAGAAAGAGGGAGAGGGGACAGGCCGGTCACTGAGGCACCTCCCTGGGCCAGCCTCAGCTCCACTGTCCCAAGCCCAGTTGAGGTTTCTGAGGATGCTCATGAAGAGAGAGAGGTGGTCAGGAGGTCGTCAAATGAGTCGTCAGGTAGCTGAGGAGGTTGCATTGGATGCAGTTTTGTTGGTTCTGTTTTCTTTTGGAGAGAAGCAGTAGCAGCAGTGACTCCATCGGTCGGGCTCCCTGGGGCCGGCCAGGCGGGGCACAGCGTCCAGTGGGCTGGGAGGGTCAGCAGGGCCTGGTGTCCATGGGCCAGGCGTCAGGGTCCGGCAGTGTCAGCGGGGTGCGGCATCCAGTGGGCCAGGAGGGCCGGGGGAGCAGGGGCGGGAGGGCCCTGTGGAGCCGGCCTCGCTGGGGCTGGTAGAGCCCATGGGTAGGGAGGTGCCCAGGCTGGCGGCTGCATCATCGGACTGCCTGGGGATGGGGTCAGTGCCCATGGCCTCCGGGCCCTGCAGGCCCTGGCCACACACGTGGTGGTGTTTCTCCCAGTCCTTGTGCTGGCAGAAGGAGCCGCAGTAGCGCGCGGCATTACAGCCGCTGCAGGTCTCGCTTGCCTTGCGCCCGCAGTTCCAACAGCTCTGCATGCGAGGAGGGGCAGAGAGGATGTTTAGTAGGGGTGAGAACCCTCACCGCACCCTCTTACCCCCTGCCTGCACAGGTGTGGCCGGGGCCTGGTGGCTGTGGCCAGGGGTAAAGTGGGGGCCCTGTGCTTCCTAGGCTGTGACCTTGGCTAGCCACTTGGCCTCTCCAGCCCCTGTTCCCACACTTGCATCCGGGAACCCACTGGCCAGCTCACCAGGGCATGGGTGGGTGGCTCACCAGGTTTGGGGACTACACCGTGGCAGGGGGTGGGAAGGGGCAATGGGGGCGGCCCACCTCGCTGGAGTCCTCCTGCTGGTTGACCACGGTCAGCGCATCCTCAGAGGCCTGCCGCTTGGCCTCGGCCAGTGCCCGCTCCATCTTGGCGCGCTCTGTGCTGATGAGTTCATGGGCCTTGCGCTCAGCGTCTGACACGGCCTTCTGCAGCTCTGACATGGCCTGCCGCTTCACCTCGTTCACTGCCTCCTCTGCGGGGACCAGGGTGTCAGCACTGGGTGCTGAGTGGGCTCTCCCGGAGGAGTGGTCTGGGCCCTCGCCCCACATCCAGCCATCCTCCAGGGCCGTCCCCACTCACCAGCCTTCCTCCAGATCTCCTCAGGCATGTAGCCGGAAAGGGTCCTGGGCACGAACTCCCGGTGGGCGTCTGGAACAGAGGGGCAGCGTCACCCACAGGGTGGCTGCTGGCTGGCTGCCCTCTCACCCCAGCCCCGCCTGGGTGGGGGTAGGCCGTGAGCATGTTCTTCTCTAGGGGTCAGGATCCCCTTGGCGCTCAGAGGTGGAGACCCTGAACCAGTTGCTGGGGCAAGGGCAGGGCAGTGGCCAGGAAGGGGAGAGGCCTGGGGCAAAGGGACTGGGGATTCGGCAGGCAGCCTGGGCAGATGGCTGGTCCCCTCTTGGTTTCCACGTTTATCAAGTGCTCTAAGCCCCTGGCCCCCAGTCCCCTGAGCACCAGGTTCCTAGGGATCGAGTGGCATCTTTGTGTAAAGCAAAGAAAGGTCTCTTTCCTAGTGAAGGGGCCCCTGGGTGGTGCAAACATTAACAAGCTTGGCTGCTAACTGAAAGGTTGGAGGTTCAAGTCCACCCAGAGGTGCCTCAGAAGGAAGGCCTGGCAATCTGTTGCTGAAAAATCAGCCCTTGAAAACTCCATGGAGCGATGTTCTAGTCTGACACACATAGGGTCACCATGAGTCAGGGTCGACTCCGTAGCAGCTGGTGCTTTTCCTAGTGACATTGTTGGGGTTCCTGTTTCCTGGCAACACTGTGCAGTGGTCCAGCTCACACAGGACTGGGTCTCTGTTCCTGGGTCCTTGGGTGGCACCCACCTGCCGGAAGCCCCTCTGCAGAGCTGCTGAGGGGGCGTGCACTGGGCGGGGGGCCCTTCTTCAGATCTTCGGTGTCACTGTAGCGCCACAGCCAGTGGTTGAGCTCCTCACGGTCGGCCTCCTGGCACCGGCGCAGGACAGTCAGTGAGCGCCGTGTTTTTTCCACCATGTCCATGATGCAGTTTAGGAGCTGCGGGGGAGGCAGTAGGCCAGGTGGGCACTGGCTTCTGTCCCCTCGCTTTGCCGGGCCTGCTGCAGCCTCCTGCAAGCTCTACCCTGTGTCAGCCCTCTGGCCAACAAGCAGGAGCCTCGGGGGTCCAAGCCTTTACTCAGAGGAACAGCCAGGTGTTCAGATGGTCCCGTGAAGACCCACGTGTAGTGTCAGGGAAGCCGCTTGAGCAGCGGGGGGCAGGGGGTGCGGTGGAGGGGAGCGGGGCTGGGGGTGGGGCTGAGATGCCCTCTTGTACCCAGCCCAGGGCTCCCCATATGCAGTGCTGTGAGCACTGAAACTGAAAGTGTAGCTCGTGAATAGTGGGGTGGGGGCATCTCCTTCATTCCCTGGGGGCAGGCAGCGCCAGCACTGCTCTTGGGGATACTCTCCACCCAGGCCCCTCCCAGGAAGTGGGGTGAGAGGTACCCCATGCCAGCACTCCCAGAGCCCCTTCCTGGGAGACACCTTGCAGGGTGGAAAGGGCAGGCTCTGAAGGGCACTATTCTGGGATACACTCAGGGAGGGGTACCACCCACCATGCACCCAGGCCTCCAGGAGCCCGTACTGCACCCAGGCTGTATGGAGTGTGCTCCCCAAATGTCTTGGGGTACCCTGGGAAGGGCCAGTGTACAGAGGGCATAGTGGGGCATGCATGTAGGATGGTGAGGTCCTTCTCTCCACGCCCCCAGTGCCTTGCCCAGGGCTCAGATGAAGAGATAGGTTGACCAGATGAGTGTGGGGCAGGGGCGGGCTCTCAGGAGAGGGGCCCGTTGTGCCCACAGCTCTGGTACCCTCCAAGTGCTGGGGTGCTGAGCCCTGCCCCCACCCCTGCAGTGGTCCCAGCTTGGCACCCAGACACTCACGTTGTTGAGATGCTTCCATTCCTCAGCCCACTCACGGTCTGTAAGCCTGTGGTCGATGACCTCCTCTTGCCGGGACCCATGCACCGCTGGGAGAGGGAAGGTGGACACTGAGGACCAGGGTTGCCTGCCTGCCCTGCGCCTCACCCCATCTGTGGGTTGTGCCCGCTTCAGGGAAGAAGGGAGTGTGAGGAGGGGGCCAGGCAATGACCCCTGTCCACCGCCCCAGGAGGGACACACAGGCCTGCCCTCTGCTCAAAGCTTGGGGAGGGGCACAGAGACTCCTCCCATCCCTGATCTAGCCTTGACCACTCCTTCCCTGCCTCCCAGTCCAGCCCTTCTCACCCTTTCTGCCCTCCCCCTCTGTCAACTAAGCATCCTTAACCTCACTGAGAGGCCTCACCACTGCCCCAAAGCCTTCAGGGGCTCCTGTGGCCTTCTGGCTCAAGCCCACCCTTCTCTACTTCCTCTCAGCTAGTGGACTCCTACATATCCCTCAAAGCCCAGGTCACAGGGCCCCTCCTCAGTGGCCCAAGGCCCTCAGAATTCCTTTAGCCCCATATGTCTCTGGTTGTTGGGTAACTGTAGCTGCTCTCTTTTTTGTGCTCACCTGCCCCCCTACCCCAACCAGGCTGCATCAGCCCACTAGGGCTGGGCTGGCATGTCCCATTCACCTCTGTGTCCCAGGGCCAAGCTGCGCCCAGAGGACATGTGTAGGTTTATCTGTTGGATTATGAGCAAGTGAGTTCAAGTGTAGCCACAGTGCCAGTGTGGCAGGAACATAGTGGGGTCAGGCAAAGCTGGGGGCCCGATAATCAATCCTCATGCAACCTAAGGCACCTTGCCTCTCCGTGTCTCAGCTTCCCTGCCCTGCCTCCCCTCCCAGGGCCACAAGCACAGGGAAGCACATTGGAGGTGGAAGAACATGGGTTAATATGCAAACAAGGATGAAATCTGTGATCTGTGGAGCCAAGTGGGGATCTGTGCCAGGAACTTTATCTTATCCAATCCTCACATCTGTCTCTGAAGCAGGTCCTGCTATTCTTCCCATTACACTGATGAGGAAACCAAGGGTGGTTGTGGGATACGCTTGCCCAGGGTGGCCAGACAGGAGGTGATGGAAGCAGGAATGAACTGAACTTGACCTGAGTTGGCCAGGCCCCCAAAACTGCAAAAACTGGGGCACCCCACCCCATGGGTAATAGAACTAAAATGCCTCTGAACTGAGAAGTAGGCAGAAGTCCAACCATGCCCACCTTTTCCCGCAGTTTCTGTGAGATAGCAGATGCTTTCACCCCATTGTTTTCGGCGCCTCGTGTTGGCAGTGCTGAGCCTGCATCTGGGTTGGGTACCCCGGCGGCCACAGGATGCTTCCTGAGGCAGGGCTGTTCTCCTCAGCCTTCTTCAGCCCTCAAGGACCTCCTAGCCACCCACACCTGACATGCCCACCAATCACAGAGGGTGGGGGCACCCTAGCCTGTCCCCCAGCCTGCCCTGCCTCCTGTGGAGCCAGGGTCTGGGCCAAGGCCCCAACCAAAATAGGGGCCGGGACGGTGGACAGCTGGCGTTTATTTTTGCATTAGCAGAAGCGGGTGGGGATTAGCACCTGCCTGACCCGAGGCTGCAGGGGGCCAGACGCTGTCACCTGCTCCCTGGCCGGGCCCTGGAAGCTTCCTCCGAGTTGGGGCAGGGACATGGGCCCCTGCTGACTCCACCTCAGGGCTGGCTGTTCCAGGCCACCTTCCCCAGATGCTGGGGTTCCTGGGACTTTTTCATCCTGTTCCCAGCACAGAGAGGGGGTTCAGGTGAGGTCAGGGTCAGGCTGATGTGGCAGCGAGACTTGGGTGCATTTGTGAAGCCCGCTGGGCCTCAGTCTCCACATCTGTGACGTGGGTGTGCTAACAGCACCAGCTTCTGGCTTCCTTTGAGAACAGAGTATAGGGTGCAGTGTGGTGGGGTGGGGGTGCCAAGGCTTGGGGCTGTCATGACTCTTATCAGTAACACCTAGGTCTCCTACCCAAGCTCTGAGTGTGCCCGACTCAGTTCTCACACACTCTAGGGGTTAGAGGGGCAGAGAATACTCTTAGACCCAGGTGACAGAGCTGGAAACTGAGGCACAGAGAGGCCGTGGGACCTATCCAGGTCGCATCATGAGGAACGTTAGAACTAGGAGGAGAAACTGGGCAGTTCTGCCTTGTACACCCCCAGCCCTCTCTGCCTAGCCCTCCAGCAGCCTCCAACCTCATTTTCTTCCTCAGGCAAGCTTCCCCAACTACCTCATGTTCTAGGGACTTGGTGCTTGTGTGTTTTTTGTCCACCCTCCTCCCTAGAGTGGCCTGCACTCCATGGCATTCAATGATTGCTCATGAGTCTTATGGGGAACATTCGCTTTCCTGTGGGGCACCCATGTGGGGAGCGCCTTGGAGGAAGGGGCTGGTCTCCTGTGACTTTGGGATCACCCCCATAGCATGGCTGCTCAGTGCCCTTAATAAATTGGCATCTTCCTGGCCAGACCCAGGAAGGGGGCTGAGGGAGGCATAGTGTGTCCCTTATCCCTTTGCACCCCTGGGGGCAGAGCTGGACAGCCATCATTTTCTCATATCTATGAAGGGCATGAACGCCCCTGTGCAGGCACTGGGGGCAGCTGATGGGTTTATGCCCACGGGCAGCCAATGCCAGCACAGGCTGAGCGACTCTAGGTCCGCTAGGTACCCAGCCCAGGGTGAGAGGGAGGCACCTGGACCACAGAACAGACACCTCTACAGCCTCCGGGGCCCTGTAGGGTAGTTGAGGTGTGGGGGTCAGGCCGACCCTCAAGACACAGGCCCCAGAAAGATGGCTCTCCCTCAGAGCCTTCTGGGGGCAGCCCAACTAGGGTGGGGGCTCCCCTCTGGGCCTCTCTTCTTACCCTGGGGTCAAAACCCAAACCCACTGCTGTCAAGTCGATTGCAACTCACAGCTACCCTTTAGAAGAGTTGAACTGCCCCATGGGGTTTCCAAAGCTATAAATCTTTTTGGAAGCAGACTGCCATGCCTTTCTCCTGCAGAGCTGCTGGTGGGTTTGAACCATCAACCTTTTGGTTAGTAGCCAAGTGCTTAACCCCTGCGCCACCAAGGCTCTTCCCTGGGGTCAGCTCCCCATCAAATCTTCCCTCGATACTCACTTCATCAGTGACTTTCCTGGACAGACAAGGACCAGGACGCAGGTGATGCATTTACATGCATACAAATGCTCAGGCTCACCAGTGCTCATGCTAACACATACCCACAGGTCATGCATACCACACTCAGGCTCACACATGCAGGCTCACCTGTAGTCATGCTAACACACATGCACAGGTGTGCCCATCTCCCCCTACACTGCTCACCAATTTGCCGATGGTGTTCCCGTAGCTCCCGGGGATCAGGGTGGCGGTAGGAGTCGCGAAAGTGGTGGGCCATGGCCATGTCCTCGAGGCGATAGTGCTGGGGGGGCGGTGGTGTGGGGTGGGCCAGCCCATTGGGCTGGTGGCTCAGCCCATTGCTAGGGCTGTAGCGCTGGGCAGGGCTCAGGGTGCACGGCCGTTTGCTGAGGTGGTCAGGGTGCAGCGGGTCACGGTCTGACCCATTCTCTTTGGTCCTGGCCCAAAGAGCAGGCAGGGGTCAGTGGACACAGTCCCATGAGTCCAGGCGGTGGGGGTGAAAGCCAGACAGAGATGTGGGCCAAGAGAAAGAGCACACAGTGGACAGGAGAGAGAAAGTAAGGGGGAGACAGAGACAAAGAGAGGGATGGGGCAATGAGAGAGATTAGACCAGTCCCATGGGGCTCAGTCCTGTGCCCCCCACCCTCCTTTCCTCCCCTGGGGCTCGGGCCAGCCTCAACCCACCCCTGCCCCTCCCTGTGTGTCGGCTCCTGGACACGGTGATCAAGAAGCCTGATCCTCTGGTTAAGGGAACTCTTATGACCAGAGACCATCCACCCCTTCGGACCACAGCAGGACAAGCACCTCTGGAGACCTTGGACTCCTGGACGCTTGGGGTCTACGTCTAGCACAAAGAGAACAAGCAGGGTGCTTTCTACCAGATACACTCCCCTCTGCCCCCTCCCTGTTCTCCTGGGGCTTCCAGGAGGGCATCTGAACCCCCATGCAGCCTCACTCCAGCAACAGGGGCAGGCTAGGGGCACTCTAGCCCATACAGAAGCCTTGAAAGGTTGAACTTTACCAGGGCACAGCTTGCCGCCCATAGAATGCAATACAGTATCAAACTACATCTGTCTCACCTCCCATAGCATACAACATAGTATCAACCCTCTTAGCCCAGGCTTCCAACAAGATTGTTCTGGTTTGTACCCTGCTGAGAATTTGCATTTCCACCCCAGATACACTAAATCAGAATCTACATTTTAACAAGATTCCCAGGTGATTCTTATGTATAACTTCCTGGGACTTTGTTAAAAATGTAAATTCTCAGCAAGGACTTTGTTAGAAATACAAATTATCACCAGGGGTTTGAACCAGAAAGAACCAGTCTGAAGCCCTGCTCTCAGCCCTGGAACCAGGGGTGCCTGGCTGAGCTCTGGTGTCAGAGGCCATTTTCAAGAGTGAAGTAAGGTGAGAGCTGCCCACCCATCGTGCCCATTACCGCTCAAAGCAAGCACCCAGGCCCAGGGTACCTGTCAGGGGTCCTCTTCTTGCTGTTCTCATTGACTTCCAGTAAGAGCTCTGAGGAGTCGATGGGTGAAGAGGCATTGGCGTCCAGCAAGAGCTGCTCGTGCTGGGCCAGGTACTGGGCAGGCGTCTGCTTGGCCAGGCGGGCACAGTGCAGAAGTTCGCGCTGCAGCAGGGGCAGGTTGGCCTGCAGGGGAGCGGGAGGGGGGATTAGACTCCTGCGAGAGCTGCGGGGGAGCACAGCCCTGCTTGGATGGGAGCAGAGAGAATGTGGGCTGGAGGCCCAGGGTGCCAGCCCTGGCCTTGCCCCTGTGTGACCTCTCTGGGCTGTGCTCCTTGACTCTAACAAGGAGATTGCAATGCCTGTTGAGGGGGAAGACACTGACCCGCCCAGGGGTGCAGTGGGGACCCAAGCCCCTTCAGGTCACCAAGCTGGAGGAGCTGAGAAGGGGTGACATGAGGATGATAACCAGTATTCCCAGCCTGTACCCCATTGTACAGAGGAGGGAGTCAGGGCTCAGAGAGGGGAGTGGCCAGGTCCAGCATACAGCTAATTGCTAGTGGACCCTGACATGCAGTGACCTGCCATAACCTGGCAGAGCCCAGCCTTCCCTCCCACTTCTTGTGGGTCTCCAGCCTCTGTCCTGAGCCTCTAATTACAGTCTGCACTCTCAATGTCAGGAGTCCCTTCTCTGGGTCCACACTGCTTTTGAGCACCTGGCCGTATTAGCTAACGTGGCGCTCACAACCAACTGGTGATGGGAACAATGACTTGGTTCCACATTTTATGGATAAGGGTGCATGGCACAGAGGGGTTGATTGACATGCCAGGGACACACAGCAAGATTCAAACACAGATCCCGGCTTCCGACATTCTGTGCTAACCACTGTACCCTCCTGTCTTTCTCCCTGGCTGGACCCTGGTGCCAGCAGCCTCCCAGCATGCACTGCTTGGCCCCTCGTGCTACTTTCCCAGCATCTTCCCAGAGCCCGCCAAGGGGAGGGAGGGCAGGAGGGCTGAGAACGCTGGATGGAGGCCCAGCAGCAGGCCGCTTGGGAGAGCCAGCAGTTGTAAGTATTTGTAAATAAATACAATTCCCCAACTTTCTCATGGCGTTTCAGAGCCGTATCTGCCTGCTCTCCCTCCATTAGCGCACCCACGCGGCCTGATCAAGCAGCCTGATGCATTTTTGTCAAGCAGCTCCGGCTGCCAGGCCTGTTTTTCTACTTAGATAGCTGAACGAAGGCCAGCCTGCCATCTGTCGAACACGTCAGGAGCATGAGCTGGGAAACATGGTCCCAGAGAGGTTTGAAGATGCCAAACATCCGCCCTCTTCCTCCCCTCCTGAGTGGCTGCCCTGGGCCACGGAGGGGAGGGATCTGTGTGGCCAGCATGGCAGGGAGGGACGCTCAGGGCACCGGCTGGCTGCTGTCAGGGCAGTGGGAACATCTGGACGCCTGGCCAGCTGGGGCCAGCTGGGAGCCGGGCTACAGAAGAGGCTGGCTGGGCGGGGTGGCATCTCCCTGCTTCTGCAATGGAGGTGGCCGGGAAGAGGGGGCCCGGAGACAGGCAGCCCCAGCCATGTGGTCTAAATGTGCAGCAGTCCTTGGCTGGAGGATGGGGCCACTGCTTACCCTTAGGTTAGAAGAAATGGGGTGTGGGCCGTGGAGGGCCCACTGTGCAGACTCTTCCAGGGCAGTGGCTCCATTTTGTTCCCAAGAGCCCAGGGCGCCCAAGGGAGGCCCTACTAGAATGCTGGACAAGCCTGTCTGGGTCACAAACTCCCCTGAACCTCAGCTCTGCCATCTGAGCAAAGGGTCTAGTGCTGCAGAAAACTCCGGAGCTACTGTCCTCATAGAACTCAGGCCAGTGGGAAATGAGTATCTGCACCAATAATGACAACAGTGGTATTAGTTATGCAACTGTCTCCTATTTAACACACTCAGTCTGAAAGATTAGAGATGCGCTGGAAGAAAGACCTGGCAATCTACTTCTGAAAAATCAACCATTGGAAATCCTATGGAGCACAGTTCTACTCTGATACACATGGGGTCACCATGAGTCGAGTCTACTCAAGGCAGCTGGGTTGGTAGATGGAGACCCTGTATGCTTGTGGTTCTGTGGTCCACCACAGTGTTGGTGCTGCCTCCCAATAGCTGTGCAGCCTTGGGTGAGTTACTTAGCCTCTCTGGCTTCTCGGTGCTTCTGTAAGCTGCCTGTGAATTAACTCCATTGATCCCACACCCTGTGAGGCAGAAATCATCACCATCATCATCTTTATCGAGGAGAAAACCCAACGCTGGAGCTGGCCCAAGCCAGGTCTCTTGGTTATAGTTCATATGGCTCTTCCAGAAGGAACCTCCAGACCCATAAGGACGCAAGGTCCCCAGTCCCGTGGGGGGCCTGGTGCACTGGGAATCCTTGTTAAGTTGTCGGAGAGCAGATGACAGCAGAGGCCTTGGGCTGGTGGGGGCAGCAGGTCAGCCCTCTCGTGCATTTTTCTCCTGCTGCTCTCCTGCCTCGGCCTGGCCGGGCTTCCTCCAGGGCTCTGGGCTCTAAATTGGGTGTGGCTCCACAGATGGAGCTAGACTGTGGGCACCCCATAGGGGACTACGGGGCCAGCTCCTAGTAAAAAAGTCCTGAAATGGAGCTGGCCTGCAACCAGTTTTTATTTTTTATTTTTGAATTCCCCAGGCTTCCCGCAGAAGCTCCATGTCAGGGAGATGAATTAGATTCACGTGACAACCCCCTGGCCCTGGGCAGGGTCATGGCCTGAGGCCCTGAGCAGTCCAGGCAGAAGGGAGCAGGTGGGCAGACCCCTCACACTCAGGTCTGAATTACTGCCTTGAGCAATCCAGGCCTAAAGCTTCATATAGCTGTGTGCCTCTGTGGGCAGAGCAAAAACTGATGCAGAGGTCCACAACCAGGCAGTGCCAAGCCAGGGAGCGTCCTTTCTGATGCGCGCTGTGGGTGGCGCCATGTGGGATGTGGTAGGGAAGACCTGGCTGAGGGGCGCAGAGTGGGCGGGGGCTGTGGGCCTGGCTGGGGGCCGGGCCGGAGGACGCAGGCCATCTTTCTGGCCTCTGCTCCCGGATAAACAGGGGCAGCTGACGCCAGGCCAGGACATCTGCTGCAAATATTTGATCTGACAAAATCAGCAGTGCACTGTGTCCCCAAAGATGGGAGGCGGCAGAGTCAGCAGTAAGTTGAAAGAAGATGAGAAGAGATGGGGAGGGCTCCTAATGAATTGCAAATGATTGCCAGATGGGCCCAAACCCTGCTCCGCTGCCAGCAGTTTCTCTTTGTCACCAGCTTGGAAGTGTGAGCAGGGTGGGGCGCAAGCGGGAGGGCAGGAGGGGGAGCGGATGTGGAAGCACGGTGTGGGGTCCCCCAAGGTGCAGTGGAGGGAGCGAGGTGCCTATCGGCATGCTCTGCCAAGGCCATGAGGTTTGGAGCTCTAGGGTCCATGTTCAAGCCTGGCTCAACCACTGCCCCAGCTGGGGACCCCAGGCCTCAGTTTCCCTGCCTGTGAACCCTGAACGTCTGCCTACACTGCCTCCCACATAGGGCTGCAGGTGGTGGTCAACAGAGGTGGAGGTGAAGAGCTTTGCCAAGTATTCCTTGTCCGAGAACATCTTTAAACTTCCAGATGATGGTGGATGGTACCTAGCATGAACTGAAGGTATGCCATAATCTTCCCAACAACCACGTGATGAGTCCCACTTCGCAGCTGCAGAAACTGAGTCTCAGAGCCGTGAGGTCAAGACACCTGGCTGGTGAGTTGCAGATCAGGGCTCATACCTGGAACAGCTGGTCTGGTCTTCTCCAAGACCACCTGGAAGGTGGCCAGCAGCCAGGGCAGGCCTGGCCATGCACAGAAGTGCTGGCCAATGGCCCACGGACCTGGACAGGAAGCCATCATGGTCAGTCCAGGGGGATGAGAGCCACAGTGGCTGGAGGCAGTGGTACTCGTGGTCGGGCTCTGAGGCACCCATGGAATATGCCCTGGAGAGGTGCTCGGCGGAAAAAGGGTCATGTGTCCAGACAGGTCTGGGAAGCAGTTCATCCTTCGATTCCTGTCTAAGATGAGTAACTGCATTGGGGAGTGAAGGCCCTGGGAAGGACTGCAATGGAGATGCCGTTTAACACGGTCTAGGCCTCCACTTCTCCAATTTAGCATGGACATGGATCACCCAGTGTCTTGTGAAAATGCAGATTTCTGCCTCAGTAGGCCTGGGCTGGGGCCTGAGGGTCCGAGTGGCTCACAAGCTCCTGGACACCACTCCCACCTCGAGCACCACTGTTTATCCATAGATTATCGTACTTGTTTGACCTCATAACTCTTTTTGCATGTGATGCCCATTCATCCACCACCTGCCTGCCTGTCTACCCACCTGCTGTCTATCCATTCATCTGTCCTCGTCTCCTCCTCTTTACCCCTTGCTCACCTTGTTCCAGCCAGGCTGACCCCCTTGCTGTTCTTCAGACACATCAGGTGTTCTCCTGCCTCAGGGCCTTTGCACACACTGTTCCCTCTGCTGAGAAAGCTCTGTCTCTACTATCCACATGGCACCTCCATTACTCTTCAGACCCCCATTAAAATGCCCCCCGCTACCCCACGGGGCTTCCTGAGAATTTCCTTATAGCGCCAGTCTCTATAGGTTCTTTATGATGGCTGACTGATCGCCAACCCTCCCCCAGGCATTAGTTTTGCCTGGTTTGTTCATGCTGTGTCCCTGAGCCTGGCCCAGTTCCTAGCATGTAGTAGGTGCTCAAAAAATATTTGTTGAGTGAATTTGGACGTTAACATAGAGCTGAATCAAGCGTCCTGTCTTAGAGCACTGGATTGGGGGCCTGACTAATCCTGTCTGGCAACTAGTTTGTAGCTTTAGGAGTGCATGCTGACGGCTCAAGGGGTCCTGGGTCTCAACAGACCTGGGCAGGGAAGGATAGAGCCTTCCCCAGAGAAGTCCCACAGCAGGAGGTGGGGCTCACCTTACCTTCAGGAAGGGGATGACGAACGGCCGCAGAGGGAAGTTGGTGGCCTCCTGAAGCTTGGAGTGAAACTCCTCGATGGTCAGCGTGGAGTTCTGAGGAGGAGAAAGGCCACATCAGGACAGCTCAGGGCCTGAGCCCAGTATTCTCCCTAGGCTCCTGTGCTGGTGAGGTGACCCATCAGGGATGGCTCGAGAGTGAGGCATAGCCCCAGAAGGGCACACAGCCTATGTGTGAGAGGGCTGGCCCTCCCCAAGCTCCCCGACTCACCACAAGCCTCAGCACCAGGGTACACACCCATTCCCCAAGCCTCGAGCCCCCTGACTCACCATGAGCCCCAGCACCATGGTGTGCACCCACTCCTCAAGACCTGAGCCCCCCGACTCACCATGAGCCCCAATGTGAGGGTACGTACCCACTCCCTGATCCCCGAGCCCTCTGACTTACCACGAGCCCCAGCGCCAGGGTATGCACCTGTTCTCCAGGCCCCCTGACTCACCATGAGCCCCAGCACCAGGGTATGTACATACTTCCTGAGCCCTGAGTCCCCCAACTGACCACGAGCCCAGCACCAGGATGTACGCTCCCTACCCCAGCTCCCCACTCACCACGAGCCCCAGCACCAGGGTGCGCACCCGCTCCCCTATCTCTGGGGAGATGTCACTGCCGAACTGCTGCAGGGTGGTGAGGAAGCGCTTGAGTTTGCTGAGCTGCCGCGCGCCACAGGCTGGAGGCAGGTGCTGAGTGGACAGGGAGGCCGTGGATGAGGTGGCTGGGCCATTGCTGAAGCCATTGGGTGTGGACGGGGCGCCATTGATGGCTGTTGGTGAGTGGCTGCTGCCGTTCATCACTGTGGGCAGAGAGTGGGCATGAGGGTCAACAGTGATGACAACAGTAAAGACAAGAAGGACAATGACAACAACCACTACGTTCATTGACAATGACAACAACCAGGTTAACAACTACAAAGGTGACAATGATGACAATAGGGTGGGGCAGCTGTCCGGCTCAGCTCTGTGGAAGGACCCGCCTGAGTTTGCTTGTCTTGGATGGTGCAAGGTCTCCATTTGCCCCTCAGATCAGAGAGTCTTCTAACCTCCCCAAGCCTCACTATCCCCGCTGTGGGGCTGCTGAGAGGAGGCCTCGAGGATGTGCAGAGCTGTGGGCCCATGTCCGGTAGGCCTCAGGATGTCCCAGCCTCATGAGGACATGGGGGACAGACACAGCTCTGACCTTGTGAACACGGTGCCGTGGATGCAGCCTGGACTTTCTCTGAGTCCCCATGGTGGCTAGGGCTAGCCCAGAGGTGCCGTCTGCCTGAGACTTGGGCCTGGCCTCAGATTCCTCATCTGCAGTGGCCCTCAAACTAGCCTCGGAGTTCTGAAGTGGTGCTTCAGTGGCCAGAGGAGGGGGTGCTGGCCTTTAGAATGTGGGTTATCCTCTGTCCTCCCCACCTCCAGTGAGAAAAGCTCTGTTCTGCTAGGTATATGTGTGGGGTGTTGTGCAATCTTTCTTGTCAATAAGGGCTCTTTACTTAGTAGAAGTTTGGAAGCCATGGATCTGAGGTCAGTGTTGGCTCAGAAAAGCGTGCATATGTGCAGTGTCTCCCCTCTCTGAAGCAGACAGGCTGTGGGAATCAGCCCAGCACTCTGCTACCAAGGCTCTGAATCCTTCTTAACACAGGTCTTAGAGCAGCTACCCCCCTCAGTCGCAATGGCTCATACAAGTCGAAACCTGTTTGCATCCCCAATTTAAACAATCTTAAAAGCTCGTTGTAGGGCTCAGAACGGACACACCGGCTCTCAGGAATAGTTGCCTCATGAGCTGTGAAGGGTTAATAAGGGGCACCTCACCCTGGGGCGCCAGAGACAGAAGACTCCCCCCACCCTCACCCCTCCCTGAGGCTTTGTCCAGGGGACCCTTGACTAGACCAGACCCCAACATACGCCAATTTCTCTCTCACGGACTAGCTCCCGTCGTCGACCCCACGGTGGACGCTCACACACGCCTGGGTAGCCTGATGACAGCCACTTGGGTCACCCGTCAGGCTGGGAGGTGGCCTGTCACCACGGAGACCTTGCACAGCAGGGCTTGCTCCTCTTGAAGAGCTCGTCAGTCACCGGGGCCCGACCTCCGTGAGTCTCCGCGAGTTTCCCCGACGCTCTGTGCCCACCCAGCCTCGCCCCTACCAGCCTGTGCCCCGCCAGCTCCTGTTACGGCCTGGGCCACCTCCCTGCTGCCCTTACCAGCCGTGCCCTCCGTGCCGGGTCCTTTAGGGCCTGCTCGCCCGCCCGCTCCCTCCCGCCAGCCGCCAGGCAGTATCAGCAGCTTGCTAAAGAGACGCCGAAAATAACCTCCGGCCACAAGTGCTTTTACCCCACGACAGGTGTGTTACTAAGTTAAACCGCACACATGTCCCCAGCTGAGGTTTGGGGCACACGCTAGCATCCTCAGGCTTCCCCAGCCCTTGGGCTGGTGGGCAGGGTCGGGCTGGGACGAGGACCCCAGAAACAGACCTCCTGCCATATGTTTTGCCCTGGCACTCAATACAAGACCTCACCCCAGGCAGCTCCCTGGGGCTGGGGAGCCACCCTGTCACCATCAGTAAGAATCACAATGGCCTATTCGGTGGACATGTAGCTGGCACAGGACAAGGCCAAGCACCCTCAGGATTGTGACAGTGACAGCAAACTCTAACACGCACACATCACACACGCTCTGCTCTGTCGTCCTCATCCTTGACCCAGGAGCCAGGTGGCTGCCGCCCCTCTCCCCCCCCCCCCGCCATGTAGCCAACCTGTAGCGTTGCTGGCACCTGCTCTGACTGGCCAAAGTCAAGGGGGCCCACCACCTGACAAACATTCTGAATATCGCCCCTGACTAGCTTCTGTTTGCTGCGCTGAGAGCTCTGATGGGCCTGGCTGACCTGTGGGCATGCAGCGCCCAGCACTGGCTGTGCAGCCTGCTGGCAACACTACTTGCCTCATCTTCTCAGTCCCTGCAATCACCTCCAGCAGTGGGTGCCATGTGTATGTCCATTCACAGATGGGGAAACTGAGGCATGGTGGTGGTACCATGCCCAAATGTCAGAGCCCAGGCTGGGTCTGACCTCCAAACGACTACCTGAGCTGCAGACTCAACACTGACAAATGTCATTCAACCTTTTTGCAACTCTGTGAGTAGCTGTGGCCCTGTTTTGCAGTTGGGGAGAAGCCCAGAGAGGCCAGGCACCCAGTCCAAGGGCTGGGGCATGGATTTGGGACCCAGGGCCTGCAATGGCTGTGCTCTCCTGGGCCCCCTCTTGGACCTTCTCCTCTCTAGGCATCAAGGTGGGGCAGGACTAACATGGCCTATGCAGTAATGGTGGTTGCAGAGGCAGTGGGTGGGTAACTACAGACTCTCCCAGGGAAGAGGGCACTGGGGTCCTGGGAGGCATGGAGAAGAGCCCTGGAGGCCCGTGGTTTGTCATTTTACTTACAGAGACAGACCATAGACCATTTTAAGCAGCCATGAAAACGGCCATGGGGCAGAAACGTCACAGGCCCGTCCTCTCGATCTGTAAGCAAAATAAGAAAAATAGGCTGTCAGGAAAGGGGCGGCCGTCGGGACAGGCGGGGGCGCCTGCAGCCGGCCCTCCCCCCTCTGCCTCTTAACAGCATTTCTGGGAGTGGGGCTCTGTCACCCCCCGGGCCGTCCGCCCCTCTCTGGGCCTTGGTTTCCTTCTCCTAAAACAACAGGGCTGGATTGGGTGACCTCTCAGGGCGATTTTTGGCTCAGCCTCCTGGGGGTCTATGAGAATTCCAGCATCTCCATTGGTGTGTGTGTGGGGGATGTACTGTTTCTTGGAAAAGCTCTTCCCAGCAGATACTTGGTGACTCCACTCAGCACTATCCTTGAGGGACCTGGGGCTCAAGCTGTGGGTTTTGAAACTCTGTTGAGATTCAGGGCTTGGAATTTCCATCAGTAGACAAGCCAATTGTAGTTCCAAAAGGAAGCCCAGGACTGAGCAGCCTTGGAGGGAGAACGCACCAAAATGGAAAAAAGATCTGACTTGTCTGAGCTGGAATTAGTGGGTGAAAGTTACACGCAGACAGACTGTAGCCCTGTCAGCACAGGTAGTGAGCCCCCTGTCACAGGATGTAATCAAGGGTAGGATACAGCATTAGCCCATTGAGGGTCCTACCAGCTCTAGGTAGCTCAGTCTGGGTCCCTCTGTTCATATTCTTTCCCAGTGTTTTCTCTTCCTTCAACCCTCCTCCTACCTCTATGGCCACACTGCAGCTTCAACTCCAAAATGAATTCTTACCGAACCCTGAAGGATCAGGATGGTCACCAGGCAAGAAAAACCACAGCCCTGAGCTCTGGTTCAAGGTCACTCATCAGCTTGGCTGGGAGGCCAGTCCCTCCCCGGCAGCTTGGGAGGATTGCCAGGACAGCTCAACAGAGCAAGCGGAGCCCTCCGCCTAGGCTGCCACTGGCCAGGTGCACAGACACGGTTAACCACTAGCTTCCAGGGAATTATGTGGTTTAGGGACACACAGAGGCCACCTCCGAGGCAACCCAGAGCTTCACACGGACATTCCACCAGCTGGTGGAGCGTTGGCCTCAAAAAGAGAAGAGCCGCTTGTCTTTTCTGTCACCTCCCTGCTCTTTCAATAAAGCTGGGACCCTAACTGAAGAAATGTGAACCGCGGGGTGGGGGGGGGGCGGGGATGGGCGCAGGGGGGCTTGAAGGCTGGGATGGATGCGGCACATGGGACAGCAGCCCCCCCCATGCCAGTGTCCTCACATCTGTTCATAAGCCTGAGGCAAAGCAAAGTCTGGAAGACCCAGCTGATCCCAGGCTGTCCCCAGTCAGGAACATCTGGTTCCCAAATCTGCACTTCCAGGAACAAGAACTCCAAGGAAAGAACTGGACTGGGAGATGCCCCATAAGGGCCTGGCCTTGTCACATGGTCTTTCAGTCTGTCTGTTCCACTGGGCCCTGGGTGGGCAAAAGGAAGGTAGCCCGGTGGAGACCACGAGCCACCACACCAAGAAATTTGAGACTCTTTCCCAGAGAGGGCTTTATTTGGGTTCCAAATCCTGGGGAGGGTACCCCAGGTGTGGGGCTTCTTGGCCCCTGAACATGGGGTGCAGTGGCTGTGGATTCTCTCCAACACCGGTGACAAGACTGTCCCCCACACTGGCCCAAACCTGGGAGTCTCTGTCTTCCCAACTGCTCAGGACCCCAAAGTCACCAGAAAACAACCCCACCAACTTCTCTGACTTACAGAAAGAACTAGAGGCTCTCTGGCTCTCTGGAGCCTTCCCCGGAAGCTTGCCTGGCAAGGCTGGTCTACAGTGGGTCTGACCCCATGCCTCCATGGGTCGCCGAGTCTGTCTAAGGCCATTGTCCTCCTGAGACTGCTTCGGCGTTCAGCATTAGTGCAGCCCGGGAAGTCAGGGCTGCAGCTCAGCAGATGGCTCCCAGGGCTCAGCATGCACTCCCTGCTCCCCACACCCAACCTGGCTCCAGCCCACCATGGCCACCCAAGTGCTGTGCACTCCAAGTGGGCTCAACTCCGAGTCTGCCCAGGGTGGGCAGGCTTCAATCTTGAGAGAGAGCCACGAGGACTGGCATTCTCATGCGGCTGGGTCACAGAGGTGAGCAGGCCCCTGCACTAGGTGGTCCTCACCCTGGCCTGGCATCCTGGCACCTTAGTCCCCCATCCTGACCTTCTCCACCAGCAGGGTGCAGGGCCCAATGGAGTCCACCTGCACTCACGTAAGTTGCTGTGTGACCTTAGGGAAGTCCCCGTCCCTCTCAGCTTCATTTGCCCTCTGGATTCGGTCTGGTCCTGGGCAGAGGGGAGGGCCAAGGGCCAAGGGCCCTACTCTAAGAGCTTTAGAACTGCTAACTCTGTAGTCTCACAACAGCCTGTTAGGAAGGACTTCAGAGATGAGGAGCCTCAGGCACAGAGAAGTTAAGCAGCTTGCCCAAGGCTACACAGCTAGAACCTAGAAGAGCTGGGATTTGTGCCTTCACAGCTTGGCCCTTGGCCATGATGCCGAGCCCTATCCAGTGCCCACTGAGGGCACTGCCTGTCCAGGGCATGGGGCCTCACACTGACTGAAATCACACCAAGGCTTGGTATCCAGAAGTGAAGGCTTCCTGGAGGTGCCGCTCTGCCCTGCCCCGCCCTACGTCCGGTCACCACAGCCTGGCCTCGGGTCACTTACGTGTGTGGGGTGTGAAGGAGGTGTGTCGTGAGGCTCCCTGGGCTGCGGTGGGCGGCGGTGGCGGCATGCTGGGAGGTGTGGACTGGGGCTGCGTCTTCACCTCGGCTGGGGAGTCGGGCATTGCTGCTGCTTTCCTCTCCTTCCTGTCGACTGGGCGGTGAAAGGGGGTGGGAGAGATGGGGGAGAGAGAGATGGTGAGGCCCTGACCAGCAGTGGCCTTAGGCCTGAGCTCCCCAGGCAAGAGAGGCCAAGCTGGCCCCCGGTGTCCCAGACCTGCCCACAGGAGCCAGCGATGGTCACAGTTCTGGGGCCAGCCCAGACTGGCCCCAGGTGTCCTTCTAGGAGCCTGGTGGGTGAGGCCTGCAGGTGAGACTTTGGAGGACGCCAGGCCTGATCATCTTAGGCAGCTGCGGGGTGCAGCTGCTAAACCCCCTAGTACACAAGGCAGCGGTTCTCACACTTGAGCTCCATCAGATCACCTGGCAGGCATGCTAAGACCCAGAGTGCAGCCCCTCCCCAGGTTTCTGATTCAGGGGGTCTGGGCAGGGGCTCAGGCATCTGCATTTCTAACAGGTCCTAGGTGAGGCTGCTGCTGGCCCAGGCCACACTCTGAGAAGCCACGGCTCTGAGGGCCTCTTTCAGCTTTCAGGTCCTGGATGGGGCATCTGGGAGGGGGTAGAACCTCTATTTGGGCTACCGGCCTGCTTTAGGAGGTTCTGAGCACCAGCAAGGTAGGGGGACACGGTCAGCCTCAGATCTTCTAGGCGACTTACAGCACAGCTATGGACACAGGGTCAGCGTCCCCAGGCACCTGGACATCAGAACCTGCTGTGTAACAGGATGCCAGTGACATGGTAATCCTGGGGCTGGAGAGGCAGTGCCGGGGGCTGAGAGGGAGGAGGGTGGGGACAGGGAAGTGGAACAAGGACCAATCAACGGAGGCCCCCTCAAGGCAACAATCTTTGCAGGTGAAGGGGATGGTGTTGGCCCAAGCCCCCCTTCACCTTGAGTTAAGGTCAGGCAGCAACTGGGCCAGTGTGAAGGCCTGGGGGCAGGTGGCTCAGATTTCCATGACGGCTGCTTTGGGTCATTGGGGTGGGCGAATCCCTACCATGATAGGAGGGCTTGGCCCAAGCTGCACGTGTGGGGCCTCACCCCTGGGGCCCCACCCACAGGGTCTCCCCATGGGGCCCCACCCACGGGCCCCACTCATGAGCCAGGCCTCCCCTAAGCACCAGAGCCAAGAGGATAGTGGAGGCAGGGCTGTACTCTGGGGAGCCCAGTACCTGCCAGCTAGGAATGTTAGGACAATGACTGTTACCTCTTCTGATCTCTCACCCACTCTCCACTCCCAGGGCCCGGGGCACATGTGTGCTGCCAGGCGGAGGAGGGGGCCACCCAGCCCCTTTGTGGTGAATGATAATAAGAAGTGGTGCTCACTGCTGCTGTGCACCCAATACTGAGCAGGTCTCCCCTGCTCTCCCTCCTGCCTCCCTGTTCTGCAGAGGGAAGGAAGTCCAGGGATGCTGAGAACATGGCCACGTCACACACTGCTAGGCACTAGGCTGGGACTACAACTGGCCTCTGTACTCCACGGCCTGTGGGGGTCGGATGGAGGAGGCCCCTCCCGCTCAGCCCCATGGAGGGGGAGAGGATCAGTGACAGCAGCCATCCGGCCACTGCGGCACCTGCTGTCCCCATCAGCTGTAGCCGTCTGGCCTCCCTCCCGCCAGGCGCCCTGCCCTTCCTCTCCCTTCCCCTCTGCCTGTCAGGCCACCACCCGCTGATGGCTGGGCACACGTGTGGCTGCAGCTGTGGGGACCTGTCAATGCCAGGCCTGGCTGTGGGGCCGGCAGCTAGCCCCAGGGACAACCAAAGAAGGCAAACGTGGTGTCCTGACCCACCCTCCATCTGACCTGCTGCCCTTGGTCCGTGATCGGGCCAGGCGCCTGAGGGGGGTGGGCAGGACAGGACCAGGTCATGGGCAGAGCTCAAGGATGGGCAGGGGCTCTGGGGGCCAGGTTAAGACATGGAACACAGGTCCGTCCCAATGTCCCAAAACCTTTCCTCAGAGCCGGGTCCATTTGGGCCTCTCGGATGGAGCCAAACAGAAAATCTAATGACGAGAAAGCCAGCTGGGGAGGGGCAGAGAGGATGGGAGCTCCACCAGGGCTGGACCTCCCTGAGCTGGGCCCTTCTCACCCCAGGCCTGCTCAGTAATAACTGCGATGCTGAGGAGAGGCTGATGGCGGCCCCTGTGCTGATGGACCGCCATAGAGGTATGGTATGCACTCACAAGACCAACGTTTCCGGTACTGCCCACGTGCAAGGACACTTCTAGACACTGCAGATGGGATAGGTATGCCCCACTGGTGCCATGACAAGTCAGGAGCACACACAGACAGACAGACAGACCTGGGTGGGAGCCAGCCCCACAGATCCAGGGCTAAGTCTCAATGCCCTTCGTACACTGGCGGAGGCTCAGCAAAACCAACAGCAGCCACCTCTGTGGGCTGCCTGACAAGCTGCCCTGTTCTCCTGCAGCCGCTGGCGTCTGGCCCTGCCCCTTACAAGGGCCCTGAGCCCCAGCCATGGGCTGCATCCACCCCCAGGGCCACGGTGAGGTTCAGACCCTGGGCAGGTGGCCTAGGAGGGGACCCTGTGCCCATAAGCCAGCTGGGGCAGGAAGCTGGCCAGGGCGGGGGTTGACTGGGGGTGATGGCACCTGCCCACTGCCAAGGCCACCAGGCAGTGCCCATGTCGCCAGGTCAGCTGACACAGCCACCCTGGCAAGGCCACATTGCTACCTGGAGAGCTGCCCAGCTTCCGGACAGGCAGCTGGGGGACAAGCTTCCCCTGCCTCATTCTCGGTGCCCCATAGTGTCCACCCCTGCATCCTCAGCCCCTGCTGGTGCAGGCAGTGATGACTTTTTCCCTGTGCTGGCTATGGGACCCATAGCATCTCATCTAATCCTCACACTTCCCCAGAAGGCACTGTCACCCCCATTTTACAGAGGGGGGAAACCAAGGCTCATAAAGGTGTTGCCGCTCAAGGCCACACAGCTGTTAGGGCTCTAACTCAAGTCACAGGCCTGCATCACTGGGCCATGCTGCCTCGCGCTTGTGGTGGTGGGGCAACCAGGGCCCAGAGGAGGCTGTTCTGCAGAGCGGGCATGCTGTGGCGTGCAGGCAGGAGGAGGCTGAGCTGGCCATGGTGGTGATAGCTCCGTACAGCTCTGCTGACTGGTCTCTGGGTCTCACCCTTGGTGGGGAGTGGAGGGTCACGTGCTCATTTGCATCTATGTGCACGGGATTTCATAGGTTCCCGCAGACCCTGACATCTGTCCCCGTGCAGTGTACAAATGCGATGCTCTCACTTTCTAGTGTGACCATGGGTTCACACCCTGGAATCTGAGCACAAGGCCCTGAGACATGCCTGGTTATTCTGCAAACACCCCATGTGGGAGACCTGGGACAGACCCTGAGGGCAGATCTGAGTGTGAGCATTTTATGTGGGAGGCGGCCCCAGGAAGCACCGGTCAGGGTGGGATGGGAAGGAAAGGGGCCTTACTAAGCAGGTGCTGGGGTGGGCCTCTGGGGTGCAGCTTTGCTGGGAAGCCGGGAGGTGGTGGACATTGTCAGAGTTGTCCCAAATGACAATAAACTCTGCTCTTTAAAGCCCCCACGTGGGGTGTTTTATGTTAGGGCAGCTCTAGGACACTAAGACAACCCATCACAGCATCCCTTAATTGCTTGTCTTCTAATAACCTGTCCCCCTGCCACCCTCCATCCCGAGAGCCTTCTGCAGGGCTGGAGTGCTCAGAGGTGAGGGTGTGAGCTCACGGCCGAGGACCTGGGTTTATAGGTCAGGTCTTCCAGTCCTTTGATCTCAGACCAAAGGGTCTGAGACACAGGTGCCAGCTACAAATGAGTGAGGGGCCACTGGCCAGCGAAGGCCCCCATCCTCTCCACACTGCTGAGTGTGGCTCCCTCCTCCAGCCTGTCCATGGCCTCTCTGCTTCCCCACCACTCCCATCCCTCGTGACAATTCCCAGACCCCAGCGGCTGTCCCCAGGGCCCGTGGGAGACCCGGTATCTTTCCCAGACAGTGCATACAGTTCCCAGCTCAAGTCACTAATCCCCCGACAGAGGAAGCAGCCCTCCAAGGCCAGGGGGAGCGGTGGGAAAGAACACGGAATGTGCCGGAACAAGCCACCCCATCCATCACTGCCGCTGTCTGCCTGTGGTTCCCAGCCAGACACACCCAGCTGGAAACTGGCCACAGCCTAGCACTCCCAACCACAGGGTTCTAGAACCTTCTGAGGCGGGCCATTAGCATCAGTGTGGGGCTTGTTTCCCCAGCTCTGCCCTCTTCACAACCCCTTGCCTTGAAAGTCTGCAGTTTGATTTCTGCTCTGTCACTTTGTTTGACCCTTACAAATGTCCTGAAGGAGGAAGGCAGGCGGGAAACCCCAGCAATGGTAACAGAGTCTTGACTGTTTATGGACCAGCCCCATCGGAGCGTTTCATCCACACCGCACGCAACCTACGGGGTGGGCAGGTGAGGAAACTGAAGCCCAGGGAGGGGAGCCTTGAGCCCACTCTGTCTGGAGGGCACCCTGGGCCCTCATCTGGAACTGACTACAGGTGGGCTCCCAACGCTGGGCCCCCAAGGAGCCCGTGCGGGGTCCTGAGGCTATAAACCTCTCCTTCCACTAGTCCAGTGGATCCCTCATGACAAGGACCACCTCAGCCTCAGAGGCAGCAAGCTCCCAGGCAGAAGCCCTGCTGGAGCTTCTGAGCCAGTGCAGGGAATGGCGGGGGGTGGGGGGGCTGCACTCCAAGATGGCCCTACCTCCTGAGGACACTGTGCCTCGGTTTCCCCCTTTATCAAGGGGCAGGACATCAGGATGCTCAGTGGGAATGGGCCAGTCTCTGGACTTGGTATGCTGCCCCTCCCAGCCTCAGTTTCTCATCTGTAAATGGGACAGTTGGTGGCCATCCCTGGTGACACTGAGCTTGGCCAGGACAAAAAGAAATTAAGTCTTAAATTGTTGCTTTAGTATTTTCCTTTTAAATTATGCAAATAATGCACCTTCACTGCAGGAAAAGAGAAGAGCAGATGAAGAAAAGAGA